TTACAAGATTTCTATACCATAGAAATGTATCTGACAGATTTATGATTGGTAAGTTAAACTATCTCTTGAGCCTCTTCGGACTCCTTAGACTTTATAGACAATATTTGCTTAGAGTTTTTGTTTTATGTTTGGATATAGCTTTAAAATTATTAAAATGTTTATGCTTAAATGCGTTAAATGTCAGGTCATTTAAGAAACTTAAGAGCTACTTTCAAATTTTTTAAATTGCCAAAATTATTAACTCCGAATTATTCGCATAATAACAAAGAAATCTCATCTGTAATATAAGTTGACATTATGGTATCAATCATTGAATGGGCTGCATCTGCTCATATTATGACCCGAACACGCCCACTTAATACCGCCCCCTTTTTCTCAATTTTTTGTTCTTGTTTTTTTTTAAGGCCATAATTAATTACAGCGTCTTCTTAATTTTCAGAAAGCGCCTAGCATGCCGCTTCTGCTCTTGTATGTTTGTATGTTTGTATCTATGCTTTGCATATTGTTTCGCATCCATTGGATACGCACGCAAGCAGACGGCGGCGGCGGCGAGTATTTATATACCCAACATGTATCTGTATCTGCGCCTCGTACACACACATAGCCGTATCCGTAGCTGTATCCGTATCTGTAGCTGTAGCTGTAGCTGTAGCTGTAGCTGTGTGCCTGTGAGCGTGTTCGGTTCGCGCGCACTTTGGTGTCTTGTAATTTAATACCCCATACGAAACGTTACCACCTATCGTATAACAGCGGAATACAAATACAAATACAAATACAAATACACGCACACAAATACAAAAATACAAAAGTACAATTTTTCAATAACAAATCCACAACAAGAGGCCAAGTGGATTTTGTGGCATGTAGAATTAACTTTGCGTTCAGCATTAACCAAATACAATTTTCAGCGCGCACTTCACTTGAAATTGGAAAATCAACAAGATTTAACTAGCTGTTAAACTGTATTGAAATTTATCAGAATCAAGCATTATATAAAGCTTGAATGCGTCTTCAGTTAATATTTTCTCATGATAGATTTGACTATACGATTAGATTTGACTATATGTTAAACTTTTTCTTCTTATTATTTTCTCATGATAGATTTGACTACACGATTAAATTTGACTTTTTGTTAAACTGTACTGGAATGTATCATAATCCAGGCATTATACAAAATTTAAAATCATTTTTTCTGATTAGTTAACAACAATTAAGAAATATCTTAAGAAACAAGAACAAAAAACATTTGAAATCAAAAAGATTTGATTGGACTCCAAACTATGTTGAATTATATCAGAATCAAAATCAAACAACATTAATTTAAATTAAATATTAAATATTTAACAGCTTGTTCAATTCAATTTAATGCAACTTTAACTCTGTTAACATAAATAAAATTAATGGCGATTTATATATCACAGTTTTTTATGACTTTCATCTTCAATTTAGTTATCAAGCCATATCCATACATAAAATTCAAAAATCTTCCCCATTCCTAAGCTAATATTTCATTTGGTTTCATTTTAAAATGTTCACACCATATATGTTTTTTTTTTCTCAAATTTAATTTACACTTTTGTTTATTAAAGAGGCTGCTGAATTTGATGTACATTCGTTTTCATGTGTGTTTCTTTTGTTGATCTTTATTAAATTTCCGTTTTTATTCGGTTTTTCTGCTTTCTTTGATTATTTTTCTGAAAACATTTCAATTTGCGTCGCATCGTCTTTATTATGGGCTTTGTTTGCTTTTCAAAAACGTTGCTTCTTCTTGAAAAGTATTTCAATTCTGTTCAATATATATTCCAAAAATAGCTTTATATTTTCGACATTATGTATATTTGTATACGGACGTTTCTCACTCACAATTGCCTTTCTTTTTCGTATATATATATATATATATATATATATATATATTTTTTTTTTTTTTGATTTGATTTTCCGCTTTACAACAAACACCACAACCGAACGTCAAGGAAAACCATGCCCAATGCTCATTTTCATTTTCACTTTTCACTTTTCACATGCACATCGAACACGAATACGAACTCAATTCTGAGTGTGTTTAGCTTTTGGGTCTTTATTTTTGCTTTTCGAAAAAAACGATTTTCAGATTCTTGGCGATTCTCTCGCTCTCGTCTTTGCCTTTTATTAATGCGTTCGCTCCGACCGACGTCCGCATGCGGCCGCGTTTCATGAACGTTTGACGCTGGCGGCCACTGCCATGTGGATTTTACTTTGCCGCCGTTGGCTTTGCCGCACAGTGGGGCAAACTGCGTGTTTTCGGTGTACGCAAATTACAATTGTTGTTTATGCGCGATAAATGGATTAAATTGGATATTAAATTACTTTTGATGTATCTAAATTTTATAAATAAGAGTTGAAAATGTGTATACATATTAGGAACAAAATTTTTTATATACATTTTAATGATGTTTTATAAAAATAATAATAAAGAATAATTTTGAATTTTAATAGAAATTAAATGTTTGCAGCATAAATGTATAAATGTATATACTTATGTGGAAAATTAAATGAATAAATTAATAAAAATCATTTTTTGCTTGAACTACATATTTTAATTCTACATTACGTTAGTTCTTGAAACAGTTTGTTGGTTATACCAAACATCTTAAGTATAATCGAATTTTTTATAAAGATAGATAATATTTTTAAATAAAATGTATATATGTGTGAAAAAACGGAATAACTTAATTCTTAAAAAATAATACAATAACAATAATAATAATATTAGCTTAAAGCTATTTTCTTTAAAGCATAACAACAGATATTTTGATGTTTCGTAGATATTTATAATATATTAATATTTGCCTGAATTTATTTGTATTCATTTTATCTAATCGTAATCGTCAGTAAATTGTAAATTTAGAAGCTTATAAAAATGGTCCATATTTAGTTATATAGGTTCCACTGTGCATTGCTGCACAGCTGCTGCCAGCGCTCTGCTTCGATGTTCTGTTGGCCTCTGCTGCGTATGCGCGCAGCTGTGGGTCCCCCAACGACGACTCCCCAGCCCGAGTGGCTGCTGTTGATGACGTATTGGCTGTGGAGCGCCCCATCCCCCCCCCCACTGTCCCCCCCTGGCCCACACCTTTTGATGAGTCAAAGTTGCGCGCTGAGGCGTCTAAGCAGAATTTTCCGTCTCATGAAAACGAAATCGAAAACGAAAAGTGTCTCAGTTTAATTCTTTATCATCTCTCCGGGCGCTCTGTGCCTCTCAAGCTCTCAGCTCTGTTGCATATTTTCATATTGTGGTGGATGCAACTCGCAGCTATAAATAAATCGTGCATCGTGTGGCTGCTGCCCGCTTACCTGCTCGATTCATATGTGCATAGATATATGTTTATATAAATCTATTTGTTGCTTTTGTTGTTTCTTATTTTTGAGAATTTATTATTGTGTTATGTCTAATTTCCTTTAATTTATTTAAAATTTTCCGTAAATGCACTCGAACAAACAGCGCAATAGAAGCGTAACCAAATTTGAAATGAATAGGGCAGAATTTCGAGTAATTTGAAAAATGCACAAAGTCCAATCTAATATTATTTTTAATACATTTTTAAGTTAATAGGAAGAAAAACTTTAGAGCATAAGCGCAATATATAACGATTAGATAAAAAGTTAATCACAAGAGATTTCTAGTTTAACAAAATATTTAAAAAAATGTACAAAAATTTGCTGATAAAGGGTTTAAACTAGCAAATAAAGAAATAGAGTAAATGCTGAGTAATCAAGTTAATATGTCAATTAGTAAGTAGCTGTGCTTAGCAATTATCTAAATTGCCAAAAAAAATGATGCATTTCCAATGGGATTGTTGGCACTTTGTACCTTAGGACCGTGTCAGCAGCTATTGCAGCCAATATTGGTAACGGGACAGGTTTATGGCATTGCAAGATCAAGAAAAAAAAAACAGCTGGCAATTGTGCCCTGTGGCGATAGGCAGTAATAGTGCAAGACAAAGGTATTAGCAACTATTTAATATATATTTTATATGCATATGCGACAGCTACTGCAAACGGTGCCAGTCGTCGCCCTTAAAGTCATGGTGCCTGGAACTGGCGAAGAACAGAACATAAATTGGCCAAGACACACAGTGCACTTAGTTAGCTTGGCTTGGTCGTCTGTTCTTGTGAATGCATCATCGTTGGCCAGCATTAATAATAAAAACTAAGCCAAACTAAACTAAATGAATTGCTCAAATAGGACATCATTATAATCAACAGAAACAGCCGAGATCATAAGCATACAAATAATTCAAAGCAGCTGCCGTGTCAATCACAATGGGCGCAGGCAAAACAATGCAAGCAAAAGATAAATTAAGCATTTAAACAATTTCATTTGATTAAATATATGTTTGACTTTTGCGTTTCAAGTGCCAAATCAAATGCTCATTCAATGCATATTATATAAGCTGACTAACGCATTTCGTGACAGCCGTTGAAAATTGCATTTAAATATTTGATGGGTTTTAGTCTATGTCAAAGAAATTATAAAAACAAGAATTTTCCTTGTTTTTGTTTTCCTTTTGTTGTTTGCTTTTATTTATTTATTATTTTTCTTTTTCTATTTTGGGTTCAGTTAATCATTTTCGCCTAGATTAAACAGTCGTTTCATAGTACAAACAGCTCATGTTGACATTTAGTCAAGATCATTTCATGTGACTCCGTGGCGCAACGGTAGCGCGTCTGACTCCAGATCAGAAGGTTGCGTGTTCAAATCACGTCGGGGTCAAAACATGCGAAAGTGTGTGGCTTTCTTTTTTTATAAATTATATAAAATGTTATTTCAAGTCTTCGTGCATATTAATCAGTAAAAGCTAGAGAAAATTAACAAATATGCGTAAATAATAAATAAAAGCACGCAATTCGTTGAGTGTTATAAGAAAAAAGTGGCTCAAATAAAGATGTAAATTTAACACTTGTTTTGGTTATTTTAAAATTATACATGACATCACATATTATTGTTTCGAAAATGTAACTTGTTTTCATTTTTCATATATTTATACATTAATAATTATTTTATTTTTGCTTTCTGCGGCAAATGTCATGCTGAATAAGTCGAAAGAGCGCATGCTCTTAACCCAAAAGAGAGTCAGCTGTGAGCAAAACAAAAAACAGCTGTTTGCAATCAGCTGTTTAAAGTACACGCGAATAACTGAACGCACATCAAATAAATATACGATTCAAATATTAAACAATTTGCATAGTGAATCTAGTGAAATATGTCATAATGTCCAAATTACCCAAAGTAGCGCTCAGCTTAAAGCAGGTAAGAGACAGCCAGCTGTCGAATCTGTGTGCCACTCAAGAAACAGGCTCTTTCCCACAGTTCATGCTGCGCCAGGAGGTGCTGAAGCTGTACAGGGAAATTTGGCGCACCACACGCCTGGTGCCGGACCAGCACAGCCGGCGCGAGCTGCGAGAATGGGCGCGTCACGACTTCCAGGCGAATCGCAACCAGGACGACGAGGTGGCCATCAAGATGCTGCTGCAGAGCGGCAGACGCAGCCTAACGGAGCTGCAGACTAGCCTGGAATTAAGCGGAACGAGCGCCAAGAGCGGCGGCAAGTGAGGAAAATGCCTATACATTTTATTTGAGCTTCACAAACTTGGCTAATGCCATATAAATACATACATAAATAATAAAGCTTAAAACAAAATCCTTTGAGGTGCCTACAATTCGCTGTTCAGCAAGTCTGTGTGTTCGTGTGTGTGTCGAGAAAAGCAGTCTAGCATTTTGGTACATGTTAACTAGAGAAGAGGACAGTAGAGGATGGACGAGCTCAAAGCAGCGGGCGCAGTAAACTCAGCCAGGCGACCTTCAGCAGTGCCAGGCCAAAGAGCAGCGAGCCAACGCTGGTGATGATCAACGAGATGAGATCCCGTTTCGCATGCTCCTCAACGCGTCCCACCAGAAAGCTGTGTATCACAGTGCTGGTGATGTGTGCGCCATCAAAGCCAAAGCAAGGTATGGCATTGATCAGCGCCAGGCCAATGCTAAACACCACATTGTATCGGAGTAGCAGCGACAGGGCATCCGGCCAGGCGGAGCTAATGTGTTTGTAGCGCGGCACAAAGCCCGACACACGCACCGTGCGCAGCACGTCCCGCGTCTGGCCCACATACATGACTGGCGCCAGTGGCTGTCGCTCCCTAGTCTGACGCTTAAAGATCAAAATGCTCGTTGTGTTGGGCAGCATGGGACGCAGGCAATAGCCTTCGGTACATGTGCCCGCCTTGCAATAGCCGCTCGAATCCTCCAGCGTGCGTCGCATGGGCAGGCAAACGTGCTGCGGTATCTCTGCAGGCGCATCCAAGCTGACATCCTCAATGTACTCGAAACAGCTGACATTGGGATTGCGCTCGTCGCAGCACTGCAGCCGGCCATCGGCATTGTGATGGCCAATGTCGATGCTTTCGTCGTTGAGCCGTATAAAATCCGAGCTGATGCAGTAGCCCAGGCGCAGCTGCTGCGCCTGCTGCAGGCAGCTCAGCCAGCTATCCTCGCTGCTGATGGGACAGTCGTTCAGCTGGGTGATCACATTCTCCGGCTGTAGGCCACGCTCGCCGCGCAACGGCGACTTTGCCATCAGCTCGGTAACGATTACATGTTCGTTGCATGCATAAAAGGGTGACATGGTTATGTCCAGCGTTGAGATGAGCATATAGCAAATGCAGGCGAGCACAAAATTGTTCCAAATGCCGGCGCAGAGTATGCGCAGCTTGCGAATCCAGCGCAAGCCATTGAGATGATCGTGCGACAGCTCCGTGTAGGCCAGGGGCAGGCAGAAGTAGAGCTACGGCAGTTAAAATCATTTTATTAGCCAATCTGTCAGGTCTAGCCAGGCTCACCTTGAAACCGAAGCCGGTCACGGGCACATCCTCCAGCACAGCAGCTAGCGCATGGCCCAGCTCATGCAGCAGAGTGCACATCACCAAGGTGGCTATATAATAGCCAATCTCCTGCAGCGGCAGATTAACGCCCGGCAGCAATATCTCCAGCTGCACGCTAGCTGTAGCAGCCGCAGCTGCACCACCGGACGTACCCGTCTCGCTGCCATTAAATATGGTAATGATCAGCAATATAATCCCAATGGGCAGCAGCAGAAAGGAGAGCAGCACGCCTATGTTGAAGCTTTTGACGAGAAAACTGCGCGTGCAGCTGTTGCCGGCGGTTGCGCCCCAGCGAATGAGCATGCGATTGAAGGCGCTGGCATTTGAATGCCAATGGAGGGTCATAAAGTTAACGCTTAGTCCGGTGTTGCGTAAAAAGGCATCGTATGGATAGTGCATGCAGCTCTATATTCAATAATAGCATTTTACAAATGAAAAAAACATATTTGATATGCAGAAAACATACCTTGAAGAAGCGATCGAAAAAGTACATGACGCCATATAGGGATGTCAGCACAATGAAGAATATTATAGGATCCATTGTGCGCGTATATCGTTTCGTTCACTTTTGTGCAATATTTTAAACGTCGCACATTGTTATTGTCTTTTTATTATGTTGTTTATTTTAAAATGTTCTTGTTGAAAAGTTGCCGAACAGCTGTTTGCTTGTGTTGCGGCCAAGCTGCCAACTTGCTTCAGACTGCAGCGATGGGCAGCACTTTAACATGTGGCCACAAAATGTAAGAGGTCGTGCGAGGATATCCATGAAATGTGACCTTAACTGAACGTTAATGATTATCACATATGCCAACATTGATCTCACTCTTTCCACAAAACTATGTTTTTGATTATTTTGCAGCCCTACAGAAAATACCCTGGCTTAAAACAACCCGCATTATTCGATTATCAAATTCACTGCGTGACGTCACAGGTCCAAATTTCTATGCTTGCAACTGAACAACCTTTTTCAACGTAACAGTGTTGCCACACTATTTGGTTTTATTTAGTTTTTGTGTGTGTAGGCAACAAGCATCTTTTCTTTATATTTATTTACTAAAACCGCCCATTTTGGAATTTATAATAATTTAAACAATGCCAAAAGTGCGTCGCAGTCGCAAGCCCCCACCAGATGGCTGGGAGCTAATAGAACCAACGCTGGAAGAGCTGGAACAGAAAATGCGCGAAGCCGAAACCGAACCGCACGAAGGCAAGCGAATTACGGAATCATTGTGGCCCATCTTTAAGATACATCACCAGAAGACGCGCTATATCTACGATCTGTACTATCGCCGCAAGGCCATCAGTCGGGAGCTGTACGACTACTGCCTGAAAGAGAAGATCGCCGATGGCAATTTGATAGCCAAGTGGAAAAAGTCTGGCTATGAGAATCTTTGCTGCCTGCGTTGCATACAAACGCGCGACACGAATTTTGGCACAAATTGCATCTGTCGCGTGCCCAAATCCAAGCTGGAGGAGGGACGCATTGTGGAGTGCGTGCACTGCGGCTGTCGTGGATGTTCCGGCTAAGACTACAACGACATCAAATAGCTTGTAAATACAGTTTTAAGTCTCAGAGGGAGGGATGTATATATCGTCGAAGAACTGAACGCAACAGTTCCAGAAGAAGAATTACGCCCAGGCTACAAAAGCTGAAGGCGTTAACTGGCGCTACACTTGCTGCCTTTTCAGGACTTCTACGACAACACCCGAATCAAATATGTAAAAATAAAGACAACAAACAACACTTGTAAAGTAAACTTATGTATTGGTCAAAGTGCGCATGTATTAGTAAACGTTTCTCTAAAAAGCTCATCGAACTATTTACCTCGACTAAAATCGCGCCCCACGTCAGCGTCTGTGTGCTGTGTATGTGAGCTAAAAATGGAAAGCGTATTGGTAAGGGCAAAACAAGCACAACTGAAGAAGTTCTAATGATACAAATGAATTCTTTTTTAACAAAGCAACATGTTTGGCATTTTGAAGTTTTGTACATTTACACAGTTATTTAAATATTTACCAACCATTTGGCTGCAGCAGATACGTAGCGGCCATTTGTATCATCTTTGAGGATATACCATCTGAGAATTCCTTGCTAGTATTGCCCATAATGTACCCGGAGTGCTGCTGGTAAGCCATTGTCATTGCCATTGCCCTAGCTGTACATGTACCATTATGATATATATAATTTCCATCTAGAAAAGTCGTTGGTTTCCTCTTGCTCAACCTAATGTTCATGGTATTTGCATCCTCCGTACAGAACCAAAATCAAAGACTCTTGAAATGCACATTAGATGGTACAGAAATCACTTGAAATTGTCATTAGTGTTGATAAGCGTTTAAAGTTAACGGTTGTCTATTGCATTAACAGTACTTGAATGCAAACTATTGCCATACATTTATGCGGTTCTATAAGTTCTCTACGTAAACGTTTTATGAACAAGGTTATAATATACTAAACTTATGGTGGAAAAAGTGTATCACAAATAACATGCCCAACAGCGCGAGAAAACGAAAGTTAAAGAAAATATATTCATATTTAACTATAATCACCGGATGCTTAAACATCATAGCATCTATTGCCACTATCGCCGTTTGCACAGTGGACTTCGTTTGTAAAATGCCCTATTGGACAACGGCAACAAGAATCGCACTGATAACAACTAGCGTCATGTATGCTGCCTCGGCGATTGTGCTTATGATTGGCGTTGCAAAGGTAAGCCGTGTACGGGAACATGATTACAGTCGATACAAATTTGGTGCATTTGTGTTAAATTTGTAGAAAAATAGATGGTATTTTGTGCCCTGGATGGTTATGATATGCGCGAGCATAGTAGTGCATGATACATTATTTTATTATGCGATTGGGCAAATAACTAGCAAAGTTACCACTCTGATGCTCACTCTAGGTGAGTACGACTGTACTTTGGGAATTAACATTGATATATATTGATATATGTATATGAATAAAATGGTCTACATTTTAATTAGTTATAAACGTCATGTATGTCATTGTGGTGGTGCTGCTGTTCGGAATGCTGAAATCTGAGTAAATAAATTTTTTGTGTCATATAACATTTTTCTAAGCATGTCAAATAGTACATTAAAATTAAAATATATTTCGGTACTCATTGGGCTTACATCGGTATCAGTCGCCATAATTTGCATATATTTCGAAATAACGGATTTCATATCGAACTCAAAGTTATTTTTAAAAATTATATATTTTATATCGTCGACAGCACATTTTGTTGTGTCCGTGCTGCTCGTTATAGGATCTATATGGGTAAGGCAAGTACAATGGATACAAAGGTATAATATCGAACGGTGGACAAATTAAATACCTTTACAGTCAGTACCTAATTTTCTGGTAGCCTGGCTATTATGTTTACCCCTGTGTATTTTAAACTATAGCATTGTGATATGCAGAACTATAGATAGTTATTGGGGTGTTATGATCGCAATGATTTTATGTATGTATTTAACAATTATTTGAACTGTCTAATCGAAACTGTGCAACTATTTTAGCCACAGCCTTGTGGTATTTAGTTATGCATCTGTTTGTTGCGTTTCAGAGGAAGCGTCGCCTAATAGATGACTCGACGCAGAACGGGGCTATAATGCTGGGATTCCAGGAGACCGCGGCGTCCTGAAAAGTGGCGGCAAATTCAACAGGCGGCCAAAAATGCCGAGCAAAACAAAATGGATTGGCAACGCATAATGCTCTCATTGTCTCTCAGCTGCGCTCTCTCTCCACCACAGTGCCAAGCCCAAACTCAACACTCGTGTTGAGTTCGTGTTGAAGTTGAGTTTGCCACTTTTGTTCGACTTCAATGGCAGCCTAAGGACATACGGTTTCGTTTCGCAGTACAAAGCAAAACCTTGTGCCAGGCGCAACAGAGAACAGCTGAAACGGCACAAAGAGAATACGATTAGGCAGAAGTTGTGGACAACTCGCTGAAAACTCTGAGCAGAAGTGTACAGATACGAACTGTTCTAAACACAGCTGTGAAGTGAAGTTAATTGAGAAGTAGCAATATATAGTGTGTGGACAGATTTATAAAAGGCACTGTATATTGATTTTAGTGCATTTCATCGGAATGTGCAACTAAATAAATGTTTGTATCGATTTGTAGCAGAAATTGTTGAACACTAAGAGAAACTGCGCTCAGTTCTGACTGTGGGTGTGTGTGTGTGTGCCTGAGTGCCTTTGTGTGCGTGTGTGTTTGTGTGTGTGTGTGTGCAGCAGCGGAAGCGGAAACGGCAACTGGCAAAAAAGCAGCTGCTGTACAAAATGACGCCAATACCATAGAAAAAAAAAACAAAAGGAAGCAAATAGTATAACATAAGAGCACATTACAAAGCGACACACAAGTTCCTGCAAAGCCTTAGCAACAATAATAAAAAAAAAATATATATATATATATAAAAGAAATAAAATCAAATTTATATATTAACTGTACAAGAATTCAGTGCCAAAGCATAAAGTCAACGCATTACGCATACGCCGTGTGCGCGCTAAACAATATCATTTACAAATTGGGCCAACTTGGTGTGGGCCGTGCTGCCGCTGTGCTCCTTTGTGCTGTTTGCGGGTGGCCAAACCGAGCTAAACCAATGCATTTGGGTGCACAACAACAACGCCCCAAGCAACAACAACAACAACGCGAGCAACAAGAGATACATCAGAGAAGGCGCCTAACATACCGCAAAGGACAACAATGTCATCCCTGCAGCGCGATTGGCATTTACAGGTGAGCCAATCATCGGATGGGCGTGTTCCCAGGTGTTTTGTTTAATTCGTTATTTGTATGCCCGGCTGACAGCTAAGGTCAAGAAACGCGCCTGATTTATTTGCTGCTGTGAGTTTTGGGCCAAGCGCAATCACATTGAGGTAGTTTGAGTTCGCATTCACTTTGGTGAGCATGCGCCCGACCCCTAACACACACACTCAAACAGGGCAAATCAGTTGAATGCGAGTAAACAATAAAATAGCCAATGCCACAGAGTGTATTGGGCCAACACATGTTTGACCATGCACTTTGCCACCAGGCCACGAATTCGGGCGACCTCAAAGTGTCATCCATCATTGTGTATCGAATGCTGAGTGAAACCCCTTAAACAAAATCATCTCACGCCGAGGCAATGAGTTTGGCTGATTTTAAACATGAGCTTGCCTCAGAACTGTTTGGGAATTCAAAGCCGAAGAAGGAGTCGAAGCAAGCCTATAAAAAATTGTCTTTAATCTTTAAACTAAAGACAACAGATTAACCATACAGAGAAGCATTTTTTGATCTGCTTTAGGTAACTTTCATATTTGCATATTAGGCAAAAGTTTAAAGGAAACTCGAGATTATTTTTAATTTCCTCTTTTAGTATTAATTTTTATAAGATATTTTAGCTTTAGCTTAAATTAAATAAAATTAATGGATATATGTATGTTATAAATTAATATGTTATAATTATAATATCCTAGATAGCTTCAAGCTTAGGAAGACTTGAGACATATCTTTTTAGTTTCCACGACTTACTCATAAAATCCTATCTAACTCTTTTAAATCTTGTTATAAAGTTTTAATAGATTTCTAGTTAACTTTTAAAGGCTAACCCAAGCTGTCATCAACCCGAACCTTGGCAGAGTGCAGCTAAGCTCTTGCAACAAGTTGAACCCCTGCAAATCTCTATACACGCGCGTGCACTTTCAATGGCATTCGGGAATTGCCACACGCCAATTGGCAGGGCAGCCAACCCAACTAACCCACCCAACGAACAGGCACTCGAGCTGTGGCAAAGTTTTTTCATTTCATTAGATTGCGTCAGGGCCTTGAGTTGTTGTGAAATTGAAAATGTAACACAACATTGGCACTTGGACGGGACTCGTGCCCGCCCACGCCCACGCCCACATACTGCACTGAGCGCTTCCTGGCAATTTAAGCCAAATTCCTGCTGACAGGCGACAGGCCTTGGCACTGTGCACAATAATGGGGCTTAAGCTTTGACATCTGACAAGGTCAAAGGGCGTGGATGCTGCCACACGACGTTGCCGCGTTGCCAATTGAACGACGTTTGCTGAGGCTCATTAGCGCAGGTCTTCAGTTGGCATTGCAACTGGGCTGCATGTTAGTTTATTACTTGCAATTTGCCAAGGGATCAGTTTACTCCGTCAATATATGTGGCATGCAACCATTAGCGGCACGTTGCCACCCCCCCCCCCCCCCCCCTCCCCCCATGACATGGCCTGTTGGATGTGGGCGACCGGATGAGTCACCTGATGCGAGACACGCGCCATGCGGGCGACTTCAATTAAAAGCAAAAACCATTTAACGGCTTCATTTGTGCCCGCTCTCGTATACGTAATGCGTAATGCGGCTCAAACGGATTACGTATACGACGCGGGGCCACTGATCCTATTTATAAGTCAGCTGCATCCGCTTAACTATGCAAATGAATGCTGAGCAAACGCTCCCAAATGCTTTATTGAACATTACGAATATTAAGCATCCAAGTTCTACTTTGTTGCACAGTTTAATGGCCTCTTTTTAAGAGAGTACTCTGTTTAATAAAGAACTTGAATGTACAGTAAACGCGCTATTTAAATTATATATACTTTAAGCATTGAAATTTTTAATTATTAAAAATCATACGCATGCCTATTTTTCCCATTTTCCTAGAGGTTTGAAAAGTTTGAATTGTACCAATGGCAAAATTTGTATTAAAAATAAAAATATTTATATGAAATATTAAAAGTAGATATTAATATTGATTATTAATTAATTAATTATCATTAAAAATGCATATTCATATAATATAATATAATAAATAATTAATATAAATCTTATATAATATTCATTACCCAACCCTTTCTACTTTAACACAAATGCTCAATTAAATATATTTACCTATCTTAATAAACTATCAAATAATTCATAAATGAAATTCAAACACAAAAAAAAAAAACAAACAATTTAATAACAATTCGATGTTTGTAAGTAGTCTTAAACAAGTTGTTCCTATATTCCACACACAAAAAACCTTTTTAAATGTAAAAATAAAATTAAAAAAAGAATTCTCACAATTGACCCCGACGTGATTTGAACACGCAACCTTCTGATCTGGAGTCAGACGCGCTACCGTTGCGCCACGGAGTCACATGTTATGATCTAGCGTAAAATGTTTGTTTGAAGCGAACGCGTGTGTGGCGTTAGAAATCTAATATTATTGATTTATTGGCAAAATGTGTTGCTGCAACAACAATGTGTACTTAATCTAAATATGTAAAAAAATTTTGTGCAACAATCAAACATCATAATTTTTAAAGTCTTATCTTTAGTTTTTCGTAGGGCGAAAAATGGAAGCAACAACAATTTACAGTACGCAAAAAGCACAATTATATTGTTAATGTACTAATCTTAGAGCTTTAAAGCTTTTGTACAAATAATAATTGTTTGAGTACATTCAAAACCTGTTTATTTCGTGTGCACAAATAAAGCTATTCATAAAAGACAGAAAAACTAGATGGTTCTTTAGTCTTTCTAGACGCTTGAAATGACGATTAGAAACAATTTGCGAAAAAGAAAAAGAAATAAAAATAATAACATTTATGCTAATTTTTTTTATAAAACAATTTTTGATATTTTTCATATATTTTTACAGCACGAGTGTGTTAACTTTCTTTTCGGCGCTGCCTTTTATTATTATTGATAACACTAAAAGTTATTTTTAAATATGATTTCAAAATGCATACATAAATAATTTCATTAGCTTATTTTACAAAATATGAGTATATTAGAGTCAAGTCAATCATTGAATATGATATATATAAATTCTAGATGATTCTAAATTTTTTTTATTTCATAAACGGCCTGTGAGTTCACCGTTGCCTTTTGATAGCTCCTATCTCCAGACTATGAAACATAACTTGAAAATGATCACATTGGCTTGCTTCAAAGAGTTCAACAAAAAAGTCTATTTAGTATTAAATTGTTTTGTTGATATATAATATTTTCTGTGGGTTGGCAGCTTATTTTTTCTAACAGTTGCATATCTCTCGATGAGATAAGGGTACATCCTATCTTATCTAAAATAACAAATGCATCAAAACAAACCCTCTATATACATATATATATAAATATATACATACATATATAGTTTTATAGTTTTTATTCTGATATATATTCTGATATAGAACTACTTATTAATTTAAATATCTCAATAAATAGTTAAAAGTCTTTGCAAAGTGCTTATTTATGTTATCAAGCCCCAAAAGCGATTCCATGTAATTTCATATTTGAGCGGATTATTTTGTTTTGAATTTCCGCAGCAATTTGTTCAGCTTAGTTCTTATCAGAAATCTGCCATGGACTCCCACGACTTCGTCCTGCCCATGCACATGGCCCTGAAAAGCTGCCAGCAAGGGCAAGGGCAACGGGTAAAAGGGGAAAAACCAAAAGGCAAATGGAAAATGGAAAATTACCCGACGTCATGCCAGCTCGCACAGCATGCAGCTGACGATATTGAAGGGGTCTGCGGGCTATGGACGGGCTCTAATAGCCACAGCAACAGCAACAAAGAGACGAAACTTATTGCATCGATTTAACAAAACAAACTTATAAACAACAACAACAACAAACAATAACAACAGCAAATAGTTGTGGCTGCGGATAATTACAACAAAATATGTGGCAAAGACGAAGGCAAAGGCAATGAATCAGCCAGCTGGGGGCCAGGGTATAGGATGCAGGTGTGTGGGTTGCTTGGTTGCCTGGCTTGTTTGTCAAAGGATGAAACCAATTAAAGGACACTTTCTGGCAGCCATTTAAGAGCTGAGTCATGCACATAAAATGATAATTATTCAAATAGTTACTTAACAAAAGTTACTTGGTATTTTTCTATAGTTAAAATTGTTTATGTGGAATATGTATTATTCCAATTAATCATTAGTTGATATCATCTTATAATTATCATTGCTATTGAATATGTCTGCTCTTAATTATAATTATTATTTATATATATAAATATGTTAGTATGGAAACCAATAAATTTATAATTGACAAAAATATGAACACGAAAATCATTATATTTGTAGTAATTAGTTCTGTAATGCCTAATTTTATGTGTAATTAAGTATTGCATATAAATTACTTCAGTAATTATCTAGACACAACTACTCTAGCAATTTGAATGCACATCCAATGCTAAGCGCTAATTATTATTATTATTATTTTAAATTTATTATAGAATTATTATGTTATAAATTCAATTATATGTATATTTAAGTACAATATAATTAATACATAAATTATATACGATAATAATTAAAGGATACAAAATATCCAATGCAAATACGGAGTAAATTTACAAAAACAATTTGAATTTGTAATTAATTTGTAAAATCCAAAATAATTTCAAATTAAAAAATAAAATCAAAATACTTTCTTAAAATTATACTGCTAATGCTTAATTATTTATACATAATTATATGCAGAATTTGAATCTGGCTGAAATTCTAATTAATATTTTTACTATAAATTGTTGACCGAAACCCAAACCGAACTGTTTAAAAAAAATAATAAATGAAATATTTTAGTAATTAAAAATGAAATGGAAATTCCGCATTATTACTCAAGGTTACTTTGTTTGCCCAGACAGTTAACTCCGTTTAAAGCTTACATATGGCATATATTAAAGAAGCCTTCGGCGATATCGTAATCTATCCTGGTCTCAGGCACGCAGCTAGGGTTAAGACATCGCGTGTCAAGGCGGCATTTGTTGAGCCAAACAAATTAATGTTGCTTTCTTAATTTGTCAGCGCTTTGCATTGAATTGATTTGATTTTAATTTTCAAATTTTTTTGGCATTTATTGCAGGGTTCTCGGGGATCGGTTTACTGCGCGAGTGAACCGGACCCAGCTGGTGGAGTCCAGTACGAGTCGGGAGGGCTCGTTCTCAACGGCACAGCTGGGGCTAGCAGCAATCCCAGCGGCGTCGCCTGCCAGCCCACAAGCGGCTCGCTGTTCTCAGTGGTATCCGCACCGCCCGCACCGCTGCCCAGTGTGCCCGTCGTGGCGATGGCACTCGCCCAGCTGGATGTCAAGCAAATGGAAGCGCTGTGCGTGCCCACACCCTCGCCGTGCGCCTCGCCAGCGCTGCGACCCGATACGCTCAGCTTGGATGCGCCCTGCTGTCCACGTACGCTGCACGCCAGTTTGCTGGAGCATCAGATCTCTGAACTGGAGGAGGATGACAATGAGAACCTGTTGACCGTGTCCAGCATAACGGCCCGGCCGTTGATAGCCAAATCTCATGAGCTGCGCACCAGTCGCAAGCAGCAGCAGTCGTCGGGCACAGCGCGCGGCAAGTGCCTGAGGCGGGCCAAGGAGCTGGAGCGACCCGCGGCGCGGCGCAACAAGCAGCTGACCAAGGATCGGGACTCATCCACCAGCACAACGGAGAGCAGCGGCGTTGCCGAACCGCCCGATGGCGGCTACGGCTGGTTCATTGTCTTTGGCGCCTTCTCTGTGCAGTTCTGGGTCGCCGGACTGGTCAAGTCATATGGCGTGCTGTATGTGGAGATTATGGAAACCTTTCCCAGCTCCACGGCAACAGTGGCTTCCTGGATACCGGCCATACTCTCCGCACTATGCCTGGTATTGGCGCCACTCTCGAGTGCTCTCTGTCAGCGCTTCTCCTGTCGCTCGGTTGTCTTTGTGGGCGGCATCTTTTGTTCCCTGGGCATGGTGCTCAGCTACTTTGCCACCAGTCTGCTGCACCTGCTCTTCACCTTCGGCATTCTCACAGGTGAGTTTGGGTTTAAAAATTAATATCTAACATAAATTAATTGAATAATGGCCATTGAAAGCTTGAATTGCAGTCAATTACTTCATAATTCCCTTTAGAAAATCCAATTACTTAAGCGATGAACGCTGTCTTTTTGGTTTTTATGTGCCTTCCTTAGAATAACTAAAGTAATTAAGAATTATGGTGCATAATTACGTACGTAATTCCTTTTTGAAGGCCTAATTACTTAGTAATTTTCATGGTAATAAAGCTTTAATGGTCAATATATTCAATTAAAGTATTCAATTGTAATTACTTAAGTAATTTCCAATTACTAAATTAAATGTAATATTTAGTGATTATTATTAAGTAATTACATTTACATACAAAATTAAAATAGATATACCTAAAATATATAAATAATAAATTTTTCTTGCTAATTAGTTGAGTAATTAACGGTTTTAAATTATTTAATTGGTTATGGTTATTACCCAAGTAATTAAATTTAGTCACAAATACTTGACTAATTATAATAAAATGTATAACTACAAAGTAAATACCCAAGGAATTATATTGAGGCGCGATTACTTTAAATTAATTATTTGTAATTACTATAGTAATTATGTTAATTACTCAAAAACTCTTATATATATTAATATTAGATTGTAATTAGTAATATAATTATTGCAATAACTTAAGTAATAACATGGAATCATAAAGCCTTGAGTAATTATATTACCTACTATTATTTACTTAATTACATTGAGGAACTTGAGTAATTAAACAAGATATATATGAGTACACTTAATAATTGACTGTTAGTAGTAACTAATTACTAATTATGGTAATTACTTTGGGAACAAATACATAAGTTATTATGCTATAAACTTGATAATTAACTCTTGTATTGAATTACTCAATTGACTATGGCTTAATTAAATTATGTATGGTCAACATATTTTAGGAATTGGTGGCGGACTCTCAACCACACCTGGCATTGTGATTGTCTCCCAGTACTTTGACAAGCATCGAGCGCTGGCCAACGGGATCTGTGTGTCGGGCACCGCGGCGGGCAGCTTTGTGCTGCCCATACTGATCAAGCATCTGGCAGAGAATTGCGGCTTCCATGGCACCCTGCTCATCCTAGGGGGCTGCATGCTGCACGTGTGCGTGTCGGCGACGCTGTATCGACCCCTAAGCGATTATGCGGAGCAGGCGCAGGCACAGGATGCGGCCAGCAAGCCCATAAGTGATGACATCAATCCCAGCACAACGGGCATGCTGACCACATCCACATACTTGGATACCTGTGAGGTGGCTGCCAACGAGCTGAATGACAAGTTCATCGAGCATTTGTTTCTCGAGGAATGCAAGAATCATCTCAACTACTACGCCAGCAAGCAGCCAGGTGAGTCTTTTGGTCCAATGATGCAATAATCAAAAGCCCAAAACGATTGTCTTACCAGCGCAAGACAAGTCGGCGCAGGAGAGCGATGATGAGGTGAAGGACATCATTGGCGAAACCACCTTTATAAAGCCCATGAAAAAGGTGCGCAGCTCCGGTCTATTGCACTCCGTGGAGGATCTGAGCACAGACTCCACTTGGGTCTATCGCAAGCATTCCGGCACCGACTCGAATCGCGGCAGTCGCCGGCGTCGCAATGTCTTTGCCAACGATGAGACCATCAGCAAAATTCAAGCACATCTCGAGAAGCCTCTCTCGCCGTCCAGCGTGGTCAGTCGCGGCCTTAGCAAAAGCATGGAGATACCCACACCCGTCAGCAATCTCAGCGAGCTAAAGCAACAGCAACAGCAATCGGATGGCAGCATTCTCGAGTCGCAGCTACTCGAATCCACGGCCGTCTACGATGATGACGATGACGATGACAATGACGCCGCCGACGAAGATGACGATGAGCGCAAGCTAAAGCGCACCTGCTGCGCACGCATCAAAATGTATCTGGACATAAGTCTGCTGCAGGAGCCCAGGTTTATACTAATGTGCCTGTCCGTAACCCTGATGTCCGTCGGCTGTCCCTATATGCTCTACTATCTGCCCGCGCACGTCATATCCATCGGTGGGTATATATCTATTATAACAATTTTATATATATTTTTGTCCGGGACAAAGATCTGAAATTAGTTATATTTGGTTTCTATCTGAACGAAGATGTTTGTATACCAAACCCAAATCGGGAGAAAGGTCTAAATCAACTTCTAATTCTTCTCTCTATCGTTAAGCTGAAATCTTTGATCTTTGTACCACCGATCCGCATATGAGCACAGAAATTTATCAATCATTTTCTTTTACTTTAAATATACAAAATTTGTATATTTTTAAATTCACTCGTCCCTTTGTTTTTCAGGCTACAATAAAAGCGAAGCGGGTTATTTGGTTGCCATCAGCGCGGTGTTGGATTTGTGCGGTCGCCTGGGCCTTGGCTGGTTGTCGGATCTGCAGCTGTTCGATCGCAAAAAAACCTATACACTATGGTTAGTGTAAATTTAAATACAAACATATTTCAGATAACAAGCAAACCAATGTACATTTTGATGCAGTTATTGTAGAACAGCAATTAAATATTTATCTATTTATTTTTAGAATGTTAAAATTATATCTGACATTTTTTCAAAATATTATTTGACCTTTTATTAAAAATATTGATAAATATTTCATTCTTAAATCTTTTTTGAAATATTGATCAACATCTTATTCATACATATTTTTCCAAAAATATTGATTATTATTTTTCCATAAAAATCTTGTGATATGTTTATATAGTTCAGAAATTAAAAATATATTTTATTCCAAAAATATTCATTAATATTTTACAAAGGTATTGACATTGTTAAAAAATATAAATAATTAATTCATAAATATTTAACAATATTAACAATATGATCAATATTTTATTCTTACATAAATTGTGATAAATATATTTTTAAATATTGTGATAAATATTTTTTTCAAACATTTTCGTAAAAATTTTTCTGAAAAAAAAAAGAATAATGTGGATAAATGAGTTTCAAAAAATTATTCATTTTTGTTTCTAATCTAATTTCACAAAATTTTTCTCATATATTAAAGAATTTTTTTTTAATATCTAAAATTTGCTAGCTATCTGATATATGAAATGGGAATAATATCAAACTGATGTTTAAATTTCTTCCTCAGCATTTTGGGCGCCGGTCTGGCCGTGCTGACAATACCCTTTGCCAAGACCCTGGTGCTGGTTGGGCTATCCGCCGCTGTGTATGGACTCTGCCTGGGCAGCTGGTACGTGCTGATGCCCGTGCTGCTGGCCGATGTCTTTGGCACGGATCGGATTAGCTCCAGCTATGGACTGGTGCGCATGTTCCAGAGCATTGGCGCCATTTCGGTGCCGCCGCTAGCGGGTCTGCTGCGTGATCTCTCCGGCGACTACGAGATCTGTTTCTACTGCATGGGCTCCTGCATGGTTTTGGGCTGCGCCCCGCTGGTGGTGTGGACCATACTCGAGGCACGCAATCATCGGCTGTTCGTGCAGCACGAGGAGGATGAGTGCGAGGAGGCCTAAAGCTAGACTCGGTTCAGTTTTGTTGCTTTGAAGTTATACAAAAAAAATACTAAATATTTGTTGTTCGTGTTTTTAGTAGCGTTTACAGTTAGACCGAAACATGTTTTCATAGCAGTACAAAAAAAATAAGAAAAAAAATACAACCTGAGTTCGAATGCCTCACCGATAAAGTTGATACTCTTACTGATACTCTACACACAAACACACACACAAACCGAAGCAACATTTACTTTACGCAGCCAACATTCACTTCATCCTTTATAAAGCAACACTTGAGTGCAATCCTGAGTTGTTCTCGTCTAACACATATATCTGTAATTATATTTATATATATATATATATATATATATATATATATATATATATATATATATATATATATATATATATATATATAAATATAATTACAGATATATGTGTTAGACGAGAACAACTCATATATATATATATATATATATATATATATGTATCATCTGCCTGCTTATCCTATGCAATATTTGCAACTATTGTGTATTTAATAATGTTATCCCAAACATGAAAAGCACCGAAAGTTGCGCAAAGAACTGAGTTAAAAAGACATGAACACCAAAACAAAAGAGAAAAACAAATAATATCCATAAATGAAAAAAAAAAACTTTAGAATACATATAAATAATTGTATTCGATATAATATACGAATATGTGTATGTGTATCTGTATTTTTATGCCCAAAAATACAAAATATGTAACGATACTTAGCTGTAGGTTTACACGATGAACATCATCAACATCAAGAAACACTTTCCAGTTGGTATTTTATTCAAATTGAGAAGCGCATAGAGAGGCTATCAGTAAAACTACTTATTAAATGTTTAACAACTGTACCAAACAATTCAAAAATCATATTCTTTGGATGCATCCAACAGCATTACATTAATCTAGTTGTATAATAGTTGTTGTGAGACATTTACCCAAAACAAGAAAATTAACACAAAATAAACAACTATAAAATTTAACTCTTGCAATTGTTTTTAATTATTTTCATAATTTAAGTATAATATAAAAAGGTTGCAAAATTCTTCACACAGAATTTCATAACTATAAATTTATATAATTTATTCTAGCCAACAAATTTCGTAAGACTCAAAAAAAAAACAGTTAAATTAAATATGCAAATGCCAAAATTTGATCAGGCGACGTGAGTCGCATATTATATGAAAGCGTCACAATGACCATAATTATTCACAGCTGCAATGTAAGTCAGGGTTATTGATGGGCTGCTATAGATACAATTACAGTTAGACGTGCTACAAACATTAAAGTATAGCTATAGCTTACCGTACATAATCGGAGACCTACCCATTGAGATTTACCATTGAAAATGAGTAAAAGGGTATAATGTTTTTGTGGAAAGGTATGTAACAGGCAGAAGGAGACATCTGCGACACCATAAAGTAGATATATTGTTGCTCAGCTTCCGCCTCTCTGTCAGCTTGTCTATCCGTCTATCCGTCTGTCGGCCCGTCTGTCCATATGTAGGAACACTTCGATCTCAGAACCTTTAAGCATATATATTAGGTTTTAATGGCTTGAGTCTTTCATTTTCTAGCTACAACCTCTTCCTCAGGCTCCCAGCCTAGTAATAGCTGCATTTATTGTTGGTAGAAGAAGGTATAGGGTATTCCCTAGTCGGGAACTGCCGGCTAGAGCTGTCTGACTTGTTTTCCAAATATCAAACTCTCCGGCATTTTAAAAGCAAAAATATTTTACATTGTATATTACATAAATATCGTATGTATATATTTCTGAGAGATCGCAATGATTTATACCGACAATTGTTGCTGTTGCATTGAGCTGAAATGTGGCTGCATTATTATATCCATTGTGGAGGTGATTATACGCGGCGTGGATCGCTTTCTTCTGGATCGTAAGTAATACTCATTCGAATAACTCGATGGCAGGCTAATTTCCCATTTCCAGATGATTCCATGCTGGGCTATACGGCGCTCATCATCAGCGGCCTTTATCTCATTTGCTGCATAGTACTTCTGATTGGATCTCTGCTGGTGAGTATTTAAATGATATGGAAGATCTTTGAGTTATCTGTCTTATTTTGCAGTCATTACGTTTTCTGCTCTTGCCTTATATATATGTTGCCCTGTCACATGTCATCATTTTGGCATGGGAATGCGGTTATGTCATCATGGTGGAGGCCTTCTATGATTATGTATTATTTGATATTTTTCAAGCAGGTGAACAGGTGTTTATAATATCTAAACAAATTTGCTATATATTTGTTATTCCTTCTAGTGCTCAGCTTGTACTTCTGCCTGGTTGTCTATTCCTATTACGATGCTTTATAAAGCTGTACAAGACTATTTATATATAAAAATATATTTTTGAAAGATCTTTAGTTGTTATATTTAAAAAAAAGTCCTAAAAAGGGACTGATAAAACGGCCAAAACCGAGATATAAAAAAACTTTTCCTTTAACCAAAATTTAACCATTTTATAAGCCTAAATATATATTTATTTGAGGTAATTAAAGATTGAATTTTTTGAATTAATACCATTGAGAAATTTTATGAAATTATCAATTAACAAATTTGCTGTAAATATTAATTTTAATAATTGCAGACGAAGTCTCAAACGATAGTCAAAAAACTTGCATAATAGTTTATCTATAAAATATCTTACATTCGTTAAGTAAAATTTTCATTAGGATTTATAAAACATTTTTTAAAAGTAAATCAAGTCGGAAACCTAGAAGACTTCAACTTAAAAGAAGCTAATAATGAAACTGAATTTTGGAAGAAAATACTTCTACAGAAGAAAATATTCTAGGAAAAATAGGAAAATTGTATTCCAATAAGCTAAAAAAAACTAAAAAAAATAAAATGAGAAACTATTATACTAAGACAACTTTTTCTATAGAAGAAGAAATAAGAAGTAAAAAAAGTTCCAGGAGTAAATAAAAACCTTGCAACTAGGCCTGTGCCAGGATCTAACTATATCATTTCTTATGTATGCCTAAAAGAAAAATATATATACTTGACATTCTACAGATATTTCACTCTTGAATAAAGCTAAAATCCGAACAGTTTCCCAAGTGTGACCATCTTTATAAGGACACCATATATATATACCATCTATATATATACCATCTATTAACATATATTTTCAAGATTCCTTCGTTTAATATTAAGGAACTCAACTTGAACGTTGCGATTACATATAAATAATATTTACACATGGTTTGTATGAGTCTATCTATCTTCAGAACTGTTCCAAGGTGCGTGGAGCTGGCGGTGCACCGTATTCATCGGCGGGTGGTCCATATTGGGTGGCGGGCTTTGGCTGCTGTTTGTATTTGATGAAGTACACCTCCGGCTTGCTGGGCTCCGTGGGTGCCGGCGATGGCAGTATGACGGGCAATTGCTCCTCCGGTTTCTTGACTAGCACATAGACCAATGTCTTGTGCTCATCCTGCACCGGCGGCGGCAGCACCTGGCGCACTGGCGTCGGTGGATTCGGTGCCTTGATGAAGATGATCTTGTAGTGTTTCTTGGGCACCGCTGTCTGTATGGGCGATGCGGCTGGGTACAGTTCCGGCTCCTCTGGCGGCACATGCACGTACACATTCTTGGTGACAATCGCCTCGGCGGTGGGCGCAGCGGGTGGGCCATAGAACTCAGCGGGCGGTCCATAAGCGGGCAACGGCTGTGCCGGCGGCGGTGGTCCATATTCCTTTTGTGGTGCCGAAGGCGGCGGTGGTGGTGCGCCATACCGTGTCCTCGGCGGCTCCGGGCGTGCCACGGCGATGGCCACATGGGCCGCCAGGACGAAAAGCAGCGCTACTTGTGTTTTCATTGTTAAATCTCAGCTCGACGGCTCACACTCGAATGATTCGATTGTGCCAGGTCATTGCGGCATTATATATGAACGGTCCGCACCAATTTTTTTTATTTTTGATTTTAATTTTGATCCACGCTCGTGTTTGTATAACCCCCTGTCGGCCCAGAGGGGCACGGTCTGCGCTCTTTGCATAATATTTCTGATGGCTTCCCAATCCAATCGTTACGGAGGCGTCGCCGTCGTCGTCGTCGTCGTCGCCGTCGTCATCGCCGTTGCCCACTTCGCATACAAATGAGTCCGAATTGTTGGCGCATCTTGTGCCCAATTTCGTTTTCGATATTTCAATACTGAAAACGAAATTGCAAACACAAACAGTCGGCGCCTGCCCAGGCCTGCCCCACCGCCTGCCCCCGATGCAGTATGTCATCGAGCGCTGTTTGGGGCCGGGCACGTTCTGTGCCTTTCCTGGACTTCCCGGCCTTTTTTTCTTTACTTTAGACGCTATTTGCCAAAAAACATTAAAACTCGATTGCGTCGTGTACAGTTGTTGTTTATGATATAACACCCGGGTAGGTAATGCTCGAAAATACCGCTGCTAGGCCATGGACGGTCATTGCAACCGATTTCCAGACAGCAATACGTTATGTTGATCAATTTATTTTATTATATTTTTATTTTTGTTGAGGCCTACGCTGAAATATGTTTAATATAGTACAGGGTGTTTCTTTAAAAGCTGACGTGGTCGGGTATTAGTCGGGGTTGATTCTAGTACTATAATATTAGTGATAAGTATATTCATTACTATTACTATTATTATTGTTATTATTATTAATATTATTATTATTGTTATAATTATTATTATTATTATTATTATTATTATTATTATTATAATTATTATTGTTATTAGTATTATTATTATTATTATTATTGTTATTATTATTATTATTAATATTATTATTATAAGTATTATTCTTATAATTATAATGATAATTATAATTATTATTATTAATAATATTTTTTTTGTTATTATAGTTAGCTATTAGTTAGTTAATATTAATATTAATATCATTTTTAATATTATTGCTTATATTATTATTATTATTATTATTATTATTATTATTATTATTATTATTATTATTATTATTATTATTAATATTATTATTAATTTTATGATATACAAAATAAATGCCACCTTGCAATTATCTGAGATGCTGGAAGCATTTAAGGCTCAAACCAAAAATGATTATTATTATTAATGTAAATATTTTATTTTTATTAATTATTTAGATAGAGGAAAAATTAGATTAATTTTTAAGATCTAGATAGATTAAAAACACAAACATTCAATTAATATTCGTAATGATCTCTTGCTCATGTCAAAGCTAATAAGCAATTAAATTTGACGTTAAGCTGTTTGTCACATATTTAAATTATTGCTATAGAATCCGTCTGTCAAAATGTATAATGCATTGTAACTAATTGTTAAATATTTTATATGCAGTTTTGTCATCTAAAATACTCAATTTTAACTGCATGCTAATTTACTCTAACATAAACATAAGTCTTGAAAGGATATTTCAGCTCAATTGTAACCAATGCCAGCTTTAAAAATAAAACAGTGTATTTGATCAAGAGCATGAGTAAATTATAAGCAATTTAAATACTTGTCAATTTAAAGTGAAGGTAACAAAATTAGCATCATATTGCATCCCTTATTGGCCAAGACCTATTTGACCACTCAACAAATTTAACTTCCAGTTGTCTAACATAGACATAAAAATATGGTAGCCCAAGAACAAGAGGATGAAAATAGCGCCAGTTAACTACATGTTAAAATTAATAGCCAGTCAAACCATTGGGAACAGAATTTTGTATTTCATTATTTACTTTATTTCTATCCGATTTTCTGCTACTGTTCTAGAAACTTTTAATAGATGAGATTGTGGAACAAAAGCAACCTTTGCCTATTTCAAAAATCGAAACACACACATTTACTCGATTTTCTGTGTCCTGTCAAATTTATGTTAAACCCACACAGTCAGTAGTTAATAGGTTTTTACGAAAATTATATTTACACAATTTATATACACGCACACACACACACAAGAAACGCGCTGAAAAGCCAAGCACAATAGCCAAAATTAGCATAGGCCCAAGACGTGTGTGTAACAATTGAAACGCTAAGCGAAAAATTATTGGATGCAACAAGATGATCTACTTGCAATATTGTTGTTTCTGCATTGATTTGCGCATTGGCACGTTTATCATTGCCATCTCAGATATAATAATGGATTTAGTTTTTGGATTTTTCATAGCTATATTTGGCGAATCGGGTGAGTGGTTTCAAGATGCAGCCAATCAATCAGATATATGTCTATATATGTTATAACAGGTGAACCCGATCTGTGCCACAAGCTGTTCCTAACATTTATGTGTATACATCTGATCAGCGCCATATTACTCTTGATTGGCGCTTTAAAGGTAAGTGCTTAGCTTTAGCTGATCGACTATGTATATATATATATATATATATGTGTGGCACTACTTGCAGCTACGTCCGAGCTGTATGCTGTTCTATATATTAATCACTGTGATCAAGGTATTATCTATGATCATTCTAATCATAGCGGACCTAATACTGCAAATCTGGGTGCCAATTATAGTATTCTATGCGATAATGTTTGGTAAGCATATATCTCACTTCATCTACATCTACATCTATATGTACATATATATTGTCTATATAGTTCTTGGCATATATTACTGGTTGGTCGTCTATTCGTTTTACGCTGCACTCGGTGGCAGTTTGTTTATCTGAATTGCCCGCAACTGCCAGTAGAGTTCGTTGTGATCAAATTCTAATCTGTGTGTCAACTAATTTGCCTTGCCTTAACAATCATGACAAATATACGCAAAATACATAATTCCAAAAAAAAAAAAAAATCAAATAAATAAAAGATAATAAATTTATAAGTGTTATTAATTAGTAGAATGGGAATCATTCTCAAGAAGTGTTGTTTTTGGATTAGTTTGCGTCGTGGCTGTTATATCATTGCCTTCGTCGATCTTGTATTTAATATGGCTCTAATCATTTTTGCTAATGGTAATATCGTTGTTCATTAACTTGTACACTAGATCAGAAATACATCGCTATTGTACCCAGACAAACATATCACACACATTGAACGCGCTATGGCCATTTGCCACTGCATCGGATGTGGCATGCTGCTGATCGGAGCTTTAGTTGTAAGTTGTAACTTAACAGCTGGTTGTAAGCCACGGATTATTTTTCCTATGCACCAACAGCAATCGACGGTCCTTTTGGTATTTTATTTGATCACCAGCCTGGTAAATGTAGCTATCCATACGTGCATCATCGTAATGGCCTCCATTGATTTTGAACCGAAGCGCCTTGTTGTAATTCTTCCGGGCACCTTTTTAGTATGTAAGTGTGAATGTTTTCATTGTTATAAATATCTCTTATCGTTTATATGATTTCAGGCCTAAACTTGTATAGTTGGGTCGTTGTCTACTCATATTTTCGAAAAATCGACTCTGCTACCTACGAGGAAGGCGATTGAGCAAGTTATAAAATCTTCAAACTTTTTTCTGTTTTTACAATGCTTTGCTTGAAAGTAGAAAACAAGTTTGAGGATTTTATACTTGATGCCCATGTGTATATATATTTTATAAGAAATTTAATCTTAATAGAAGACAAATATACGATATATATGAAAAAAGCGAAAAAGCTATATTTGTTTCAAGTCTTTTGATCAGTTTGTCTTACTTCTCTAGAGTTTTGATTTCTTTTGTTTTTGTTTAAATTGGCAGCACTGTTCATTTCTTGGGGGCTGCCACATGGTTGTAGGATCCATAGCCAGGTGGCAGCACCAAATTAAGTTTTTCCCTATGTGAACAAAATGCATTACCAGGTGGCAGCACCACAAGTTGTCTTGATTATTGTGTTTGCAAAAGTCAACGGTGCTGCCAAATATTACATGACATATGTTTTTCCAGGTGCTGCCAGGTGGCCATACAGAACATGCATTTTTTCTCTGCTGGGAAGCACTGCAATTCTATTTAGTCAATTAGCCTTTGCAATCAGATTAGATAACTAAACGGATGGAAACAAGAAATTGCGGTTGTCGACAGGTTAAAGTACATTTTAACTTTGAACGTGAAAATGATTAAGCAGCATGATAAATATCTTAACTATTTGTGTTTTTTGTGCATATCTGAACTGAATGAATGAAAACATATGTATGTATGTATGTATACATAATTGGAATACAGTCTCTATCACGTATTGGCTCTAACGTATGGCTATATCTTAGATGTTAATCAGAAGGCAAGCAGCTTAAACATAATCTCCAAAAACATACGTGCAAAAGCACTCGCATAAGAAGTTATTTTTTTTTAAGTTCGAATTTACTAGCGTTCAGTGAACTTACGATTTTTGTGTTAGCTTTTTTCACAGCAATATTGTGTACATAGAACCCGGAAACTGGTCGATAAGACAGCTGACTGTGTTTTTTATACATTTATTAATAAAAATGTTTGCTATACAATTGATTAAAGCGAGTATGACGATAATTATTGATATACATATAATTATATTGAATAAATTCATTTTCATAACCGGTCACAGAAAAGCTGATTTTCTTTATTCATTCATGTATTCATGTATATATTTATACATATGTAGTTTTTGATTGATCAAGAAAGTTCGTAAATGTATGTTAACATATATTTTAGGGCCTGGGTCAGTGAGACGGGGGCTCACCCGCAGGTAGGGAGACTTGTATTGCTCTTGTGTAGATAAGCCTGCATACGTACGCTCGGCGTATGAGTAATAATCGAAGAGTGGTGTAGTTGCAGAGGGGATTTTCAATGCACTCTCTCTCTCTCTCTTTCTCTATCTACCCGCAGCGATCCACCATTTGGCCGCGCTCCCACACAAGAGCGAGCAAGAGCGAATAACTTAACTTAACGAACGAATATTCGCCTTATCAGTTTGAAAAGCTTTGTCGTCAAATAGTGTCTACCGAAACGCTGAAGTGAGCGCAACGCTGCGCGCATATTGCGATTGAGAGCGAGTGCGAGTGCGAGAGGGAGAGCGCATTGAGAAGGGAATCGCGTGTGCAAGCGAACAAAAGACAATGAGCTGGTGGAGCAAAAAGAAATCCACCGACGAAGGCGTCAGCGCCGATCGAGCGCTGGCGCAGCAGGATCCACGCACACGGGTGCACACAACAAGCGCTGCCACCCTAACGACAAATACGGCCGTGCAGAATTCAACGATAATAGATAACAACAAAAATACGGTAACGTATCGGTCCACACGTCAGACGGTGACGCATAGCCAGCGGGCGCATGTTACGGAAATAACAACACGTCGCACACCAAGCCAGGCCGAGCTGGACGAGCTCCTGGCGCAGCTGCATATAAACGCTGGCAAAGCTGGCAGCACCACAACAACAACAACCACCAGCAACAGTAGCAAGCGTTTTAGTCCATCCAGCCTGAATGGTGTGGCACTGCGTTCGACCACCTCGTTCAAGCCCAATGCGGAGGCAAGGCGCTCCAGCACATTGGTCAAGCTGGAGCAGACGAGCATGTCACAGAAGCAGGGACGCACTGTGACACAGCATGTGGTAACCGAACGGGTGGTGCTGAATCCCGGCAAGACCAGTTGGCCGCCAAAATCGACAAGCACAACAACTACCTCAACGGGCAGCTCAGGCACGTCTGCAAACAAGCCATATGTGTCGCCATTTGCGCTAAAACCAATCGATTCCAGCTATGTATCGCCCTATGCCTCCAAGACGAGCAGCATCACTAGCTCTGTGCTGTCCAAGCCAACGACTAGCCAATCTGTGCTGTCCAAGCCAACGGTTAGCCCATCTGGGCGCAACCCCATTCCCAGCACTGCCTTTGCCACAAAGCCGATACTGTCGACCCCAAAGACAACTGTGGTCAAACCATTTATTAGCCTTAATCCGAGCAACGGTGCGGTGTCCAAACGTTATCCAAGCATTACCAACAGCGATGCAAAATGTGAGCTCAGGCCAACGGTATCACAGAATATTACAATACCCAAACCCAAGCCGGTTATCAAGAAGAAACTGAAGCCAGCTGTTGTTGTCATCTTCAATCAGGAGAAATTCAACAATCCAAATAATGAGTTCCGTTCGGGTAGCTCCGAGGATGTTAAATCGTTGGATAAAACCTTCAGGGCGCTCAAGTGCAAGGTGCAAATCATCACGGACGCAACGCTCAGTGAGCTCAAGAATACTGTCCGCAAATGTGAGTCCATTTTTATACCCTGAACCCATTAAAAATGGGTATAAGGGTATATTGTATTTGTGCAAAATCCAAATGTATGTAACAGGCAGAAGGAAGCATCTCCGACCCCATAAAGTATATATATTCTTGATCAGCATAAATAGCCGAGTCGATTTAGCCATGTCCGTCTGTCTGTCCGTCCGTCCGTCCGTCCGTATGTATGAACGCAAGGATCTCAGAACCTATAAGAGCTAGAGACTTGAAATTTTTGATGTAGATGCTCCTAGTTCCGGGGCCGATCGAGTTTGTTTCCGATAATCGATAACTTGCTCCGTTTCCAAGCAATCGATAAAAACCGATATCGATATACTGTTTTTTGGGCAATTTTGGTAAATAATAAGAGCTAGAGTCACCAAACTTGACATATAGCTTCTAAAATAGAATATATATATATGCATTTGATGTTGGAAGAAGAGGGTTCAGAGTATCCCCTAGTCGGGAGCTCCCGACTAGAACCTCTTACTTGTTTGTATATAAGTATATTCTAATCCAATCTCAATTGTTCAAATATTTCCCGATTGTCCTTGTGAATTTCTTTTAATGTAATCGGTACATCACGTCTGTGATTGATTTTCTTATTAATCTTTTGTATTCCTTCAAAATCTATATGCAACCCTTTTTAATCCATATTCTGTGTGTAAGGGTGGATTTTCCTTACTTTCCACTCAACAAGGTGGATTTTAAAAAATTCACCGAAGCAAAAATAAACAAAAATGTTCACATAGTATATATTAAGTCGAGGACGAAAGCACTTATACAACAGTTTTTCACCCATTTTTCACGGACACAAACTGATACATTATCCATTTTACAGTGGAACAGAAAAACATGGAGGATCGTTCAGCGCTGGTTCTGGTCATATTGAGTCACGGGCAACGGAATGAATCGGTGGCCGTCAAGGATGGTGAAATCAAAATAGACGACGATGTCATCTTTCCCATATTGCGCAACCGCACGCTGCACGAGAAGCCGAAGATACTTTTCGTGCAGGCCTGCAAAGGTTACATGAAGCCGGGATCGTTCAAGACTGATGCAATGCTGGTGAGAGAATCTTGTGTTTCGCTTGTGCTTACCCATCATACTTATCTAACGCTTCACCAAAACAGCCTCATGGTATTCCCAGCGAGATTTTAAAGTGCTACAGCACCTACGAGGGTTACCTCTCCTATCGCCTTGACACTGGTACGCCCTTTATTCAGTCGCTATGCGATACTTTAAGCTCGAAGCCGGATGTTGACATCGAAACCAATATGAAAGATGTGATACGTTTGGTAAAGAGCTATACCAGGTGAGCCTTGTTAAGGATTTGATACGCCTCTCTTGTGTACTTGAACAAATTTTTTATTACAGTGATGCCCAAGTACCGTCAGTAACCAGTACAATGACCACCAAATATGTTTTTGGAGATTATGTTTAAGCTGCTTGCCTTCTGATTAACATCTAAGATATAGCCATACGTTAGAGCCAATACGTGATAGAGACTGTATTCCAATTATGTATACATACATACATATGTTTTCATTCATTCAGTTCAGATATTCACAAAAAACACAAATAGTTAAGATATTTAACATGCTGCTTAATCATGTTCATGTTCAAAGTTAAAATGTACTTTAACCTGTCGACAACCGCTATTTATTGTTTCCATCCGTTTAGTTATCTAATCTGATTGCAAAGGCTAATTGACTAAATAGAATTGCAGTGCTTCCCTGCAGAGAAAAAATGCATGTTCTGTATGGCCACCTGGCAGCACCTGGAAAAACATATGTCATGTAACATTTGGTTGGCAGCACCGTTGACTCTTGCAAACACAATGATCAAGAAAACTTGTGGTGCTGCCACCTGGTAATGCATTTTATTCACATAGGGAAAAACTTAATTTGGTGCTGCCAACTGGCTATGGATCCTACAACCATGTGGCAGCCCCTAAGAAATGAACAGTGCTTTCAACTTAAACAAAAACAAAAGAAATAAAACCTCTAGTCAAGTAAGACAAACTGATCAAAAGACTTGAAACAAATATAGCTTTTTCGCTTTTTTCATATATATCGTATATTTGTCTTATATTAAGATTAATTTCTTATAAAATATATATACACATGGGCATCAAGTATATGTATGTACTTATTTTAGCAATTTAGACGATGAATTGTTTTGACCTTGATTTAATACTTAAAATTTGAAGCTCAAAGCGGTCCAAATGCAATCCAATAAAGTAATGTAATGCATATGTAGATAGTTTTTATCAATAATTATTGCTCATACTCGAAACAAAAAAAAAATGCATGACAAAGCGCAAAAGTACCTTCCGATGAGTTTTCGATCACCTGATCTATAAATCCGTACCTCTTTTAATTTAATTCGACTCGTACGTTGAACTTCGTATTGGAAGATCGTGTCTATAATATTTGAACGCGTGGTTAAGAAATATATTAACTCTGAGTTTTCTTTGTTTAAAGTTGGTTTCACACTGACTGCTTATTCTTCTTTGCAATAAAGCCCAATTTCCAAGAACTTCCTCAAAAAAAAAAGATCAAAAGCACAAATAAACAAATCAAAATGCCGCCTAGCAGCTTTACGCTCTTCAGCGGCGCTGTTCGGTTGCGCTCTCTGCTGTGCGCCGCGCTCTAGATGCTTTATTGATTTTCAGTAGCGCTGCGTCACAAAATGCACTCAAAACAGAAACTCAAATACAAATACAAATACAAAGGAAAGCTCCCTGCTATTGAATTGTAATGTTTGTGAACGTTTTTGAAATTTCAGTGCTTTGGCAAACGTAGAATCGTGCGGTGAGTTGGCAACAATTGTGCCGTTAACAGCAGCACGCGGCGCGAAAATTAAAGCAACAACAGCTGACAAGTGTAAAAAGGAAAATTGTGGTGCAACAACAGTGAGAAATGAAGGGATTTTTTTTTTATTTTTTGCAAGTTGCACAAATGATTATCGAATACAGTTGCTGATAAGATAAGTTGCCAATTGGTTTGCATCACAGCCGGCTTATCATCCGGCTAATGCTAGACGTGCAGATAACCTTTAAAATTATCCAAGGCCAATTTTCATTTAACAAGCTGCCAAAGTTCCCATAAAACCCATGAATTAGAAATGTGCTGAAATTGCAAAAAAAAACAAAAAGGCAACGCACCGTAAATACAAAAGAAATAAATGGAAAACCCTGTTTTTCGACTTGAATGCAAAAAAACACTATATTGATTGACTGATGGTTTTCAGTTGGGATTATCGTCTAACTGGAATTGTGTTCAAGATTACTTCAATCAGCAGCTTTTATTAGTGGTGCTGTGAAACGTTTAAAACCCAACTGACGCATACTTACAAACAGCCACTGTAGCAACATGCAACAATTTACATCAATTGGCAACGATTGCATGCGCCTTAACAGACATGCAACTTAACTAGCACGTATTCAGTCTGGATCTTCGATCAAATAATTGATCAGGCGCCAAAGAAATTCAAACATTGATAATATTTAACATGTTAATATTAATATAATATATAAATATTAATAATTTATATATTAAATTAACACCAACAGTTTTGTTTTTTTTTTTTTTTTTTTTTTGGCTGTTCAGTTATCAATTGATAACATTAATATTGTTAAATTTACGCCTCTTGAACTGGTATCTCCCATATCTGGATCTTTTAACGGTTAGTAAGTACTTAAAATACGCAGGAATCAATATAACCTATGAACATATATACGATATAGATGACTTCAAATCTTTTCAAATTTTGTGTACAGTTAAAAATAACCAATACTAAAAAGGGACTCAAAAGTAATTAAATTTATGAAAATTATAATTTTTACATATTTATATGGGGTATTTCCAACACTCACACAGGAGAAAGAGAGACAAGACTACAAGCTGACATTGAGTAATAAGTTCTAATTACTCAAAAATAAACTCAAAAGAGATCATGCGACGGTGTTCAGTTGGTCTCTCTTCCTCTCTCTCTTTGTTGCTTATAACGGACAGCTAGTGTCTTAAAATCTGTGCATTTGTGCTGTTGCACTTGATTAAATAATTTCACAACAAGCGAAGGTGTCGACTTGTTCTTACTAAAACGTGCTCCCAATGCTATCTTATTATTGAATCGTGTACTCAGCAATCACTTTGTTTTTATATCATACACATTGTTTTGTTCATTCAAGAGTGCAACAAACGCGCACGTGGCTGGCAGATCATAAGAATTTTTCGCGCAGGTGGCAGCGCTACGGCCATTTTGAAAAGAAAATAACAATAACAACTGCCCAATAATGGCTGCACCAGCCGCTGCCATGGACTTTGATGAGATACTCAAACAAATTGGCGAATTCGGACGATACCAGAGACTAAACTATTTGCTTATTTGCCTGCCGGTGCTCTTTGCGGCGGCCAACAGTCTGTCGTATGTATTTACCGCCGGCACACCAAAATATCGCTGCCGCGTCGAAGAATGTGACGTAGAAGGGCAGCCGCATTACCAGACCGATTGGCTAGAGGTTGCCATCCCGGGCACACGGGACAAACATGGCTACTTTACGCCAAGCGACGCGTGCTTGCGCTATGCAGCCAATGAGAGCTATGTGCAACAATGGGGCATGTCGCTAACTTGCAACGCCTCGCTGTTTTTGCCACAACAGCCGCAACGCTGTCGGGAGTTTGTTTACGAGATTGGGGAGCAAACCATTGTGCAGGATTGGCAGCTCACGTGCAAGGAGAATGCATGGAAACTGGCTTTTGTAGGCACCACTCACTTTGCCGGCCTGGTGGTCGGCACTGCGCTCTTTGGTTATCTGGCCGATCGGTGAGTAATGGGCGAATATAATGTTTGGCGATTAGTTAAACAGTTGTTTTAACGCGCGCGAAATAAAACACATTGACGACTATATGGCAACATTAAAACAGCTTTTGAATGCACATAAATTATCGATAACTGGCATTACGGGTGCTCAGAGCGCAATTCCATTAGCTTCAGTTCAAAAACATCACATTTTCCATGCGAACATTGAGGGTACTCACAATTCTTTTATTTCTACAGCTTTGGGCGCAAGCGCATCTTTCTCTTCTGTACCATATTTATGGGCGTGACGGGCATTGGCCAGGCGCTGGCCTGGGACTATTCCAGTTTTTTGGTCTTTGCATTGCTAAATGCTGTGGGCACATCCGGCGTCTATCCGTTGGCCTTCATCATAGGCGTCGAAATGGTTGGACCGCGCAAACGTGAAATGACCTCCATTGTGTTGAACTACTTCTATGCGGTGGGCGAGGCGCTGCTAGGCCTTGCTGCGTGGTTATTGTCCAGCTGGAAGATATTGCAGTACGCTCTATCCATACCGCCGCTGTTCTTTGTGGTATACTTCTGGCTGGTGCCGGAGTCGGTGCGCTGGCTGCTGGCGCGCAACGAGCACGAGAAGGCGGGCAACATCATACGGCGAGCGGCGCATGTTAACCAACGGGAGCTGTCCCTGGAACTGATGGCCAGTTTCAAGCAGCAGCAATTGGATGCGGCAGACACCGCGCCTGGCAAGCAGCCGCTTATACAGCAACAGCAACGCGAAATTTGGCCATCGGTCAAGCAAGTGTTTACCTCCAGCAAGCTCATTTGGCGTTATACGATCCTTCTATTTATATGGTAAGTACTTAGCTGTTTAGTTTAATTTTCAAAATCGTAATGTGTCCACTTGCAGGGCTGTCAATGCCATTGTCTTCTATGGACTCTCACTGAACTCGACCAATCTCAGTGGCAACAAATATTTGAATTTTGCTTTGGTCTGCCTCATCGAAATACCTGGTTATAGTTTGGCCTGGGTACGTTTTCAATGTCATATATATACATATATATATATATATATTCGCATTACAATAACACTTATTCTTCTATAATTGACGAACCAAAAATAGTTGTGTCTACGCAAACTGGGACGACGTCTGGCATTATCCGGCTCGCTGCTGCTCTGCGCCATCACATGCGCTGCCAGCGGCTATTTGACAACGGGTATGTCATCAAATTGTCATCATATAAGTCATTAACATCTGTAATAAACTAAATCTTAACTTTCTATGCATGCCTACATAGTTTATACTGATATGAGAGAACGTAAAGTGCCTTTAAGATTTGTACAAATTAAATAAACATAAGAGTCATTTAGATTTGCAAGTGGATATAGAACGTAATCATTATATTACAAATTTAAATTTTATATGTACAGTGAAAAATGTACTTAATACCAACAGCAACCTTAGCCCTTAGTCATCCCATTAGTATTTTTTTTGCTATGAAGAGCCCGTCGTTGGGCGAACGCTATTTTTAAACCCTGAACCCATTGAAAACTCGTGATTTTTGAGATTTTTTAAACCAAAATGGAATTGGTGCCAACATCTGTAGCTAGTAATTTAAAATACTTGTACATTGTGATATTACTTTGTAATCTTTTTCCCATGCAGGACGCAAACACTTACTGTCGATGTCCACTTAAAAGTTATTTCACTGTATTTGAAAAGCCCGTTTTTTACTTCACAATATATTAGATCTGAAAACAGTTCTAACAAACTTTGACAGTTCTTTATATTTAAATGGTGTCTTATGGCTCGATGTTTGTTTATTTTGGTCTTATTACAAACACACTTAATAGAAATAGTTCCATGTAATATTCAACAGGTGCCAATTGGCTGATCGTTACACTATTTTTAATGGGTAAACTGGGCATTACCTCATCGTTTGCGGTCATTTATACCTACACAGCTGAAATGATGCCAACGGTTGGTGAAATAAATACAAAATTTCCATATTATTATTCTGTTAAAATTGCAATTTCATTTCAGGTCATACGCAGCGGCGGCGTTGGCGTCATGTCGACATTTGCACGTTTTGGTGCCATGCTGGCGCCCTTTGTTCCACTACTGGTATATATATTACATATTATTTACATATTATTTATTTAATTGTTTTATGCCTTTTAGGGCGACTATTATGAGCCGTTGCCCTTGCTGCTATTCGGCACTGCATCTATGCTGGCAGGATTTCTATCGCTGCTGCTGCCGGAAACCTTTCACAAGAAGCTGCCAGATACGGTAGATTCAGAAAATATAAACTCTCTATAGGAAATATTTTAATATGAACTATCTCTTCCACAGGTCGATGAGGCAATTGCCTTGGGCAACAAGACGCGTCCACTTTCGAATATTACGAACAATTCCACATCCACAAACAGTCAACAACACGAGTCCATAATGTGATTAGGCATATGTAGAGCATGCATTATCCATCTAGTACAAAGCACTAGTAGTTAATTAGAGAATTGCTTTTTATAGGGAACCTGGCACCAAATTTTGTACTTAGTTTTATATATAATACGAATCTTAACCAAAAGTAGTCTGCACGCGTATTTGTTTTTGTTTCCAATACTCGATATTAATATTTTCATATCAGAGAAGATTATTTGGTTTAGCTTTATGCTATGCAGATGAAACCGATTTTTAAATTATTTTAAGATCACCTTGACCCATTGAGTTTTAATTGTAAGCTATATTAAAAATATGTATTTTTTATAATTGAAATGCCAATGAATATTTACAATTTACTAAAAAAATAACTATAAGCAAATATTATTGCCCAAACAGACCCTCAAATAAAAGCGGATCAGTGATGACCCCGAAACGATGGAGCAACTTGTAACGCTGCTTCTTATCGGTACGCAGGCAAATTGGTTGATAAAAGCCAAGACGCCTGCGGCTCTTTGGCTCCCAGTCCGGTAGCAAATCTTCAATATCGACCAGCAGTTCCTTGCGGCGTCCCCAGAAGTCCACATAGGCCAGCTTCAACTGATCCTGATGATCGTTGATGTAGATGAAACCAATTATATTGGTGGACACATAGCTGGCCAGTGAGAGCGTCATCAGACCCGAAACACCAATGGCTGCATAAATGCCCAGCACATCACCTGACACTTGACCAGCACTCTCCAGGGCAATGGCCACCGGCGTTCCAGCCACTGTGACAAAAGCCTGATAGATCTTGAGCCTATTAAAGGCAGCTACTAGACGTATTAATGGCAATCTATAGATGGGGCGCCATTCCGTAAAGCCGGCATCCAAAGCAGATGATTTCCCTGTTTTCGTTGTTGTTGTTGTTGACGTTACAGGTTGTGTGACAGCTTGTGTTGATGCATATCGCCGACTGCTCCCCACACAATATGACAGTGGAAATTTGAGAATTTGTGGCCTGCACAATCGTTGCAGCACTGCAAAACAATTGTTCTATGTTACTAAATCGCTGTAAATATATGTTTTTGTTTATAAAAACCCAAAGAACGCACTTGTTGTGTGACTGTTAGATAAACACTGCGCTCACTGTTGAGCATGGCACGTTTGACTCAAAATGGCGATAAGATGTTATCGATATGTTTTTTAGCTGCAGCTGGTCACACTGCTTGACACTTTGTTTCCAATTATAACGTTTTTATTTAATTTAAATCAACTTAACATAAACTAATGTGCATGTTAACAATTTTTTTTTAAATAAACACTCATAAGAAATCGCAAAGGACAGCTGACTGGCAAATGCTGAGAATGCTTAACAGCGAGAATGTTGGTGATCGTGAAATAAGCTCTCACTTAAATTTGTATCTAAGCTTTTGAGAATGCGCATAGATTTTTGAGTACATTGAGCATTGAGCGCCAGGCATTTGTTTAATAATAGACGCGACCAGATGAGCGAAACTGTCCAAAGCAATCAAATTCTTGTTCAGTCCGAGTCGACAACGACGACAGCTCGTTGTTGCATTTACGATCTTGTGCCGGTCGCTTTTATTCAGTTACAAAACTAATTTACATAGTATGTATTTCGTTTAAATATATGATTTCTATTATATTTAAGAGCATGCAAATATTTTATAAAATTTAAGTTTTTGGCGAACACCAAAAAACAACAGTCTAATAACTCTAACCAATTGGTGCTAAAGAAAATAATAATAATGTTCCTTAACTTAATTTTCAAGTGCCAAAAACGGTTAAATAACAATTCGGCTAATCAATTTTGAATACAAATGCAATTCAATAAAACATAGATCGATGTTTAGTGACAATTTGATGTTTTCGTGTGTTGTTTAACAAGCTGTACATATTTTTAGCACAATTTTGGCGTGCTGCGATTTCGAAAATAGTTTTTTTTCAATGTTTGTGTGTGCGTAATTTCTTTACCCGAAATGCGCACAAGTGCAACATGTAAATAAATATATATATGTGTTAATACAATAACAACAAAATACAGTGCACGCTTGGATAGAAAAACGTTCAGAAATTGGCATTTTCCAGAAATTAAAGGATGTTCTCCAAGATTTTAGGTGTCTTTTAGTATCTCATCTCATTGGGTATCTCATGATATCCATCTGATCTGTTTTTATGATATAAATACATATTCATACTTCGAAATTAAATTACTTACAATACGTCCAATTTGCGATTTGGAACTGTTTTAAATACAAATCAAAATTATCAATTTGTCGCAATTTAATTTGAATATCTGCCACAAGAAACGGTTTTCCTCATCTGCTCGAAGAACGAGTTTCCATATTTCAATTTCTGATTTAAGGTGCGGCAGTATGTCGATGACATCGCTGGGCATAAGCGCTGGCTTCATGGTCGGCTGCTGCATTGCGGCACAGATTGCGCGCCGGGTGAGCCGTCGTCTGCTCAGCCAGGAAGGCATTGTGCCCGTACTGATGAACGAGGCGATTGCCGCGGCGGAACTGTGCGCCTGTTGCTTTGAGCTGATCATCGGTAAGTGGAGCTGTGCCCGCTTTAATAGAAGATTTACGAATTGGAGCATATGCAGTGGCCGATAACTTTGGCGTGGCCACCTATGCCATATTTTTGTTCCTGCTGACCATTTGGTGGGGCAAGGTATGGGGCGATGCCTCCGCCTGTCCGTACACACACATGGAGGACGTGCTGGAGGGACGCACCAGCTTTAAGGAGATGGCGCTGCGCACCTGGGCAGAGCTAATGGGCGGCTGTTGTGTGTATCGCATTGTCCAGGTCTTCTGGTGGCTGGAATTCGCCGAGACGCACAAGGGCCGTGCCTTCGAGGAGTGCAATGCCGATTTGCAGGTTAGCCCCTATGTGGGTGCTGCCATCGAGGGCGTGGCCACACTTTTGTGCCGCCTGGCCTCGAAAACAATTAGCGTGCAGGAGCCAAGGTTTAGCAGTTATATTGATTCGTTTATCGGCACCAGCCTGGTGGTCGCAGGTAAGTACTCGCCCGCCGGAAACGTGGCTACCGACTGCTGCCATGTCCTCTCAAAAAGTTTACGCTTTTAATTATGCCCTGCTTACAGCCTTTAACTTTTCTGGCGGCTACTTTAATCCGGTGCTGGCCACGGCTCTCAAGTGGGGCTGTCGCGGACACAGCAATCTGGAGCACATCATCGTCTACTGGATTGGCGCCTGTCTGGGTGCCATGTTATCGGTGCCCATTTTCAAGCTGTCCATTGTACGGCGCTTCCTTCTGGGCGAGGAGAAAGCAAAACAGGCCTAATAGTTAATTTATTTATGCTTTAAAATTATCGATAGTACCGCACTATGTATAAAGCCTTGTTATCGATAACGATATTATTCGATACTTCATGACACCAAAAATACTAAACAATTATTAAATACGATAGCAAAAATGATCGAATTTAAAAATCGTTAGACCTAATTTTTTGTTGTTAATTTCAATTAAAAAAATAAAATGAATATTTTAAAATAACAATTTGCGATATTTAAAGTAACTATTTACCGATTTAAAGGCTGGGCAATAATATTGATCGAGCAATAAAATAATAAAACTTGGCATACAATATATTTTTTTAATAATTTAAAAGGATTCATTGTGTTATATCCAGACGTATATTTTTTATTATTAAACATCAAATACTATTAAGTGTTATTATCTAAAATCACAATTTTTACATGCTGTTAAAAACTAAGTAGATAATTTAAGAATATTGTGTTATGTTTTGATAAGTTTTCCTTGTAGTTACATAGAATATGTATGTATATATATAACATCCCCATAGCTTAAGTAAGCATATAGCCAGATATCTTACTAGTGTGAACCATTATGATATATAGTATTTATGACTCCCGATTGGCAGCTGGTGCAGCTGCTGCTGCTGGTCGGCGTCGTCGACGACGTGTGACGCGTAACACAACCTCATCATTGATCCGCTCGAATTGATAGTCGCTGTTGCCCAGAGAGCAGCGTTTGGTCACCATAGAAGAGTCGTTGCTGTTCTGGCAGTGGCTCTGCTCCATTGTGCTGGCATTGAAGGTCTCATCAATGGTCACATGCAACTGCGAGGCCTCCGTAGTTAAGGCTGTTTCTGGTGGCGTTTGGGGCACAATTGGATCGGCGGTATTCACTGTGTCGCCATCGTTAACATCTACTCTACGTTTTTTTAGCGGCGTTTCTTTTGAATCTTCCGGCGCAGCGCTGCAGGCCTCATTGTTGCTTCTTTTTTTGCTGGTTGTCCGTGCTTCGAGTTTCTTTATTCTGACCCTCACTTTTGCAGGAGTGTTTCGCGTCGTGCACGCAGCTGTCGACTGCAATGGCGATTGCATAAGTATCTGGATAAGATCCTGTTTGGGGGTTTGCGGCAACTTCATGGATGTGGACGTTACAGCTGTTTCGTCCGGCTGCTCATCGGTTTGGGATTGCTGATGCAGCTGCTTCAATGCCAGCTCAATGGTATCCGTTTCTAGGCTCAAATTCGGATAGCTTTCGTCCAATGTGATTGCCTGCTGTTTATCTGGTATTAACTCATTCATGACTGCCTCGAGTGCAGCATCGTCCTCGGTGTGATCAATCTTGGTTGAATCCGGCTGGGCGTACATAACTGTAGCTGCAACGACTGTCAGCTTGGGCGTGATTGTCGTATTAACTGCCACAATTTTCGAGTTGCGTTCATTTTGATTAACTGTGATGAACTGCAGCTGAGACTCTCCTTCAATCTCCGATGCTGGCTGCGTTAATGTGTCGACATTAAAATTCAGCCCTGGCATTTGCTCAGTAACATCATGTGCATTGGACAGCTCGTCTGTTTGTTTCAAGCTGTGCTCCTCGCTTGTTCCATCTACTTTAACTGCAAGATTCTCAATATCCATCATGACGGGCAAGCGTATGTCCTCAATTATTTGTATGCTTTTCATGCCACGGACTGGACGCTTGGGTGTAACCATGTTCTCTGCCTGTGCTGGTAATTGATCTAATTGACAATAGTTGGAGTCCTGGCTGGGAGGCGTTGTGGGCTCGCTTAATGTTGGCTTTGCAGCTGCATCTATTTCTTGAAAATCGGATGATTCTGAGTTTTGATTGCTTTCCATTAACTGATTTTCCATTTGGTCCTCACTTTTCGCTTGCTCCAGTTCATGATCATCATCATCATCATCAGATGATGATTCCTCTAGTTCTTGAGCATCATCATCTAAAGAATCCATGTTGTCATTGCTTTCCCCTAACTGATTTTCCCTGTTGTCTTCACTTTTCGTTTGCTCTAGTTCCTGACCATTATCTTCTGATGATTCCATGTCGTCATGGCCTTCCGTTAATTGACTTTCCCTAGGATCCTCACATTTCGGTTGCTCTAGCTCCTGAGAATCATCATCAGATGATTCCATGTATTGGTTGCTCTCCACTAACTGTTTTTCTCTATGGTCCTCAATTTTCGCTTGCTCTGGTTCCTGAGCATCATCATCAGATGATTCCGTGTTCTCATTGCTTTCCCTTATCTGATTTTCCCTTTGGTGCTTACTTGGTGCATTGTTTGCAGTCGAATTGTCGCTCCGTTCGCCTTCCTGAGCATCATCATCAGATGATTCCCTGTTGTCATTGCTTTCCCTTAACTGACTTTCCCTATGGTGCTCACTTGGTGCATTGTTTGCTGTCGAATTGTCGCACCGTTCGCCTTCCTGAGCATCATCATCAGATGATTCCGTGTTGTCATTGCTTTCCCTTATCTGATTTTCCCTTTGGTGCTTACTTGGTGCATTGTTTGCAGTCGAATTGTCGCTCCGTTCGCCTTCCTGAGCATCATCATCAGATGATTCCCTGTTGTCATTGCTTTCCCTTAACTGATTTTCCCTATGGTGCTCACTTGGTGCATCGCTCCTTTCGCCTTTTGCTTCTATATTTTCGGTTTCATTCCCAGTCGAGATCTTATTCGTGCTATCTTTCAGTTCCTCAGCTGGTGCACAGTCTTGATTATCAGTTGTGTTTGTTTTTGTTTTATCCACATCGCTTGGTAGCCCCTGTTCCTCTGCAAAGCCCAAACAATTGTGTGCTTCAGTATCTACATCGCCCGCTATTTTCTCTGCAGTAGTAAAGTCCAGTCCGGGTATATATTCATGTGGTTCTGCAACAACTGCTTTAGTTACTTCCAAATCACTCTTTAGGTCCAGCACAGATATATGCTCATTTGCTTTCATATTAGCCACCTCTCGTGTTAGATCCTCTTGTATTACAAAATCCATATCCAGTATATTTTCATGTGTTTTTGCCACTGCATTTTTTGTTGCTTCCTCTTCAATGGAAATATTCAGACCCGGCATGTATTCCTGCGTTCTCGGGTCCATGTTACTTATGGTGGCCTCTTCATCCATCAAATCCAGGCCTGGTATGTATAAATGTGGTTTTGTATCCACTTTATTTATGGCCTTCAAATCCTGAGCAGGAGCATTATCGTGCATTTTCGTATCCAATTCCGTAATTAATTCCTCCTTAAAGTCTAGCCCGGGAATTTGCTCATTTGCTTTTCCATTATCCACATCGTTTATGAGTGTCTCATTATCAACCAAATCCAGGCCCGGAATGTGTAGATTGGTTTGACCGTCATCCAATTCTCTTTTGAACTGATCTTCGGCTATAAAATCCAGGCCCGGAATGTGTTGTTGATCGTTTGTATTATGCACTTTATTAATTATTTCTTCTGCATCCAACAAATCCTGAGCAGTTAACTGCGCTTTGTCTGTGCCCGACATGTTCTGCTGAGATTCTATGTTATCCATGTTATCCTCATGAACTGACTGCTCTTCATCATTTGCATCCTGTCCCTGATTTGTTTCATTAGCTACTTCATTTACGAACTCAACTTTTACAGCATTTTGAAGATTTTGTTTTGTATTTTCTGCATTTAGCAAGGGCTTAAAATGCGGACTAGGCAATGGGTTTTTTGGTTTCGCGACAACTTGATTATCCAGTTGTTCCTCATCCCTTGCAAATTTCTGTTCCATGTCCTTACTTTCAACATTGCATACAAAATATGTGTTTATATTTTCGGCTAATTGTTGCTTATATTTTCCAGATTTTCCGCTGCTTGTTTGCTGTAGTCTTGCTTCGATTTGGCTTTCCGGCGTGTACAGCTCTTGTGGCGTTAGCGGTTCCATATTTGCCATAAGGTTCTGGAATACTTTTTCACTGTCCACATTGCTGCTGCCTGCATTTGTTGTCGTCGCTGGGCTTTGGTGCTTGGGCGTGCTGCCAAAGAGATCTTCCATGGTTTTTGGTTTGTGGTCATGTGTAGAGGATTTGGTACGGTGTTTTCTTTCAGTTTCCCGTGTGCTTTTATGTTTACTGAAACCGAGATATATAGCTTTATAAGCAGGGAAATATTGCTGGTAATAAATGCGAACGTTGCAAACATACCCGCTCCTGCTGCTATTCTTATGGGTAGAACGCGAACGTGAACGCGACCGACTCCGCCGACTTCTTTTTAGATCCCTGTTCCTTGAGCTGTGCCTCTGGCTGTTGCTTCTATAACGATCCCGACTGCGGCAGCGCTCTCGACTGCGACTACGACTTCGACGTCGACTTCTATCTCTATTACGATCTTGATCTCGTTCTCGTTCTCGATCCCGATCTCGTTCTCGTTCTCGATCCCGATCTCGTAATCTTTCCTGCGGATTCCTCACATCAGCTGAGCGCTGACGCTCTGCGTCCGAGTCAAATGGCTTGTCTCGCTTGTGTTGCGCCATTTTCTCGGGGCCAGCCTCCCGGCTAATAGATCGTCTTACGGGTACGTGCTGTTGTGTAAGATGTTTCATTTTCACATCGCAGTTTTCGTTATTGTTGTCGATGGCAATTTCAGCTTTCACGTCCGACATTTCCACGCGTTTGAAGCGTTTGTGTTGCTGATGTTGCAGCTCGTCTAAAGGTTGTGTCTGGGAGTTGGGCTGCCCCAAATTGGGTGCACGCTTGCGTCTGAAGCATATATCATCTTTCCTATTTAAAAATAAACATACATATAATTTTATATATGTATATATGTTATTGTGGCTTTTGACAGAGCTACTTACTCCTTGCGCAGCTGCGTTATTTGTGCATCCTTGCGCTTGATTTCCGCCTTAGCCGTATCGAGCAGGTTTTGGAAATTCACCTCCATTGTCTTAATTTTCTTGGCAAGTGCTTTGTTTTGCGCTTGCAAATTTGCAATTTCCAGCTGCGCGGCATCATATTTTGCCTCGCAGGCCTCCAATTCTTTGGATTTCTGGCAGCAAATCGAATTAGTCTCATTTAGTTTACCACGCAACAACGCTCACCTTATTTTCAGCTTCTTGAAATTCATCCAAATCATCGTAAATATCGAGTTCGTCGCTCAACATTTTATATAAACCATGTACATTATTTTATAAAATGCAGCAGATTAAATGCGCGAAATTCGACCAGTGTTGTTAAGAGCACAATCTAGTAGACAGGGTCAAAGCAGCTCTGCGTTTATGGGCATCACTTTAACTTGTAGCGAGCCAGTTTGAAATGCAACAAACATAGCTCTAACTGTCATAATACACACAGCCGGCATTCAAATACACAATAACAAACTAATTTAAATACACACAAATAAAAAATGCAATGGCTGACCACAGAGAAACGCGTCCGTATTATTACAAACTCGAACGTCAAAGGTTTGCGTGCATTACATATGCAGTGACAGCAGTATTTCTCATTCTGGCCCTGTTGCAATGGTATCTATTTCATTTACTGTAAGTAACTATTGTTTATATTAGCAACATTCAACTAACTCGCATACTTTTCGCAGTGGTGCCACAAATAAATATTTTACCTCAAATTATTGGGTTGGCATTATATTCTTTGTATTGAGCTTAGTGCTGATCATGTTATTCATTTTCTTCGAGGATCTTCGCTTCTTTACACCCATCAATTGGATATTGGCTTTTATAATAGTGAGTCGCGATTCATCACCAACTGATTGCTAATTTTTGGTTTACAGTTTGAATGCGTTGTCGTTGGCGTTACATCGTTGGTTGTGCGCCATTATCAGTACCACTTATTAGTGAGCTTCCTTATATGGACCGTTGTACTTGTAATCTTCCTTGTACTTGGCTCTTTTATACCAGTAAGCAACGACTATTCAACATATTTTTATGCTCTTACCGTACATCTTAATTCATTCATTTGCAGCGTGACTTAACTTTGGATATTGTAGTACTTGTTATACTTGGAATTATATGCATTATTGGTGCCATGTATTTTCTAATGCTCTACTTAGTTGCGAATGTGCCTTATTCGTTTTTTGTGTATCGTGCCTTTATTGTTTTTAGCATTGTGACCGTACGCAACTTTCAATTTACCTGTTGTCAAATTGTCTACTTATTAATTGTATTTTACAGTTTATTATGTACCACGCTCAAATTATCAATGGTGGACGGTTTGCTGAAATTCGAGACAAGGACTATCTTTTGGCGGCGCTTATATTGTTCTACGATTTTTTGCTTATGTATCTATTTACTTTTCAATTGGCACCAAAGTGGTCTGATGTGTGCGATACACACAGAAATAGTACAAATATTTTTGTAGTGGATCAGCATTTGAAGCGCACAACAGCGCAGGCAAAAATGGTTATAGCCGACGCTATTCAAGTCGATGTGGAGGCATAAGTGTCGTTTTAAAATTTCAAAGCTTTTGTTTAAACTTACGCGGTCTGTTAAATAAAAAATGTAAATTGCTCGCACTTGATGGGTAACACTTTTTGACGGCGCAGCCAACTTCACACGTTTCGAAATTTGGCGCGCTGCAGCTGTTTTCATATTGTTTTGTGCCGTTGTTGTTGCTGTTAATATTGCTGCTAATAAACTTTATTTGGCACAAAGCTGACATAAACAATTATTTGTGTATTAAGCAACGTCACACACCACAGTGCAGCGCCTAGTTAAGCAACAGCCATGGATCCAACCATATCTGTTTCAAAGGTAAGCGAACGAATTTGAAAACCAAATATAAATTGAAAACACTTGAAATCTGTGATTAGGGCTGTTTCGTCTATAAGAATGGAGCGACACGCGCCAATAAAAAAACGCCTAGCAAACGCAAACGCACAGAGGCAACTAGCAGCCTACTTGGCAAGGAGATCACCACGCAGCCCTTCTATGCCGCATACACCGAATGCTGGAATCAGCTGCACTGCCACATTGTGCAGCTGCAAATGGCTAGCAACGCGCGCACACTGGAGCAACTGGTAGAGTTTGTGACCGGCGAGGGCGCTTCCAACATGGACAACACGGAAATGCTGCCCACAGCGGCGTTGCTGACAGGCATCAATCAGCCCGATCATCTAAAGCAATTTGAGACGCTGACGCAGCGCCTGCATGCGGAACAAGCGGCTCGTGTCTGTGTGCTGCAATCACGCGATTGTGCCACATTAAAAGCTGCTGTGGAGTCCATGGTGTACAGCTTAATGGATGATCAGTCGGAATTGGTGGATCCGGAGGACGCAGAGGACGAGCGTGAGCGCGATCGCAAGCGTCTTCGTCGCACTCAATGCACCATGAAGCAGCTGAACGCTTGGTATGCCAACAACTTTGGTGATGTGGATAAGCGGCGCGCTCTGGTCATTATTCTGCCCGATTTTGAGTGCTTTAACGCCAGCGTGCTGCAGGATTTCATACTTATACTCAGCGCTCAGACTGGCCGATTGCCCTTTGTGCTAGTGCTGGGCGTGGCCACTGCCATGACGGCGGTGCACGGTACGCTGCCCTATCATGTCAGTAGCAAGATCAAGCTGCGTGTGTTCCAGACTCAACCGGCGCCCACGGGCCTGAACGAGGTGCGCACATATCTTGAATTCCATGCAGCTATAAACTTTTACATGTTATACTTTTTCTTTTTAGCTGCTCGACCAGGTGCTGCTATCGCCCAAGTATGCCTTCCATTTGTCCGGCAAGGCTTTCAAGTTTCTGACCCACATATTTCTTTACTATGATTTCTCCATACACGGCTTTATACAGGGCTTCAAGTACTGCCTCATGGAGCATTACTTTGCGGGCAATGCCTTCGCGCTATGCACCAGCTACAGCCAGGCTCTGGGTCGCATTAAACAGTTGACGCACGATGACATGGAGACCATTAGGCGTCTGCCCTCTTTTCGTCCTTATGTGGAGCAGATCAACGATTGTAAGCGCATTATAGCCGTGCTTACCGACGATGATTACCTGAAGAAGAAGCTGCCGCAGCTGTTGCGTGACTGTCTGCTGCACTTTATGCTCTTTCGCTGCTGCTTGGAGTTCTTCACGGAGCTCGTGGGCGATCTGCCACGCTGTCCGCTGGGCAAGCTGCGGCGTGAGCTCTATGTAAACTGCTTGAACAAACCGATCCAACAGCAGCCAGAGTACAAGGAATGTTGGCAAATGCTTAGTTTTATGTCCAAGGAGGAATTCGTAGGCAAGCTCGCCAAATGCATTGACCGCACCGAACAGTTTCTCGGCGAGCAGATAGCTCCGCTGGAACTGGGCGAGGCCTGTGCAGATGTAATGCGCGCCAAACTGCAGTCGCTCAAGAAGCTGCTCAACGATGTCGAACTAGCCACAATGGAGCTGCCCACACCAGCCACCGAATCCACAGCATCAACAGATGCACGCACTTTGACCGATCTCAAGCAGGTGGCCTCGCGTCATGAACTAAAGGCACAACTGCTGCAGCGCAGCAAACAGGACAAACAGCAGTCGACGTCAGAGTTTGCGCGTGCTCTTAACAATATATTGTCGCACATTGAGACGCATCTGGTGCTGGCCCATCTGCGTCCGCTGCAGCATGCACCACCGCTGCACGAACTGTACGTATTCAGCGACATATCGACGGTGCGCCGCAACATCATTGGAGCACCTCGTGCTGCACTGCACACGGCGCTCAATAATCCACATTTCTACATGCAATGCAAGTGCTGTGAGCTGCAGGAGCAATCGCAACTGGTCAGCACCATGCCCGATCTGTCGGTGCTCTACAAACTGCATTTAGAGTGCGGTCGCATGATTAACCTCTTCGATTGGCTGCAGGCGTTTCGTTCCGTGCTGCGCGCCGGCGATGAGCAGGAGGAAGTGCCACAGGAGCAGATCGATCCGCAGATTCAGTGAGTGTATATTTAAATATAAATATATATGTATTTATATTGATTTGACTTTATATACGCAGAGCACGCTTCACCCGCGCTGTCGCCGAGCTGCAGTTTCTGGGCTACATTAAAATGTCCAAGCGCAAGACGGACCATGCCACACGCCTCACCTGGTAGGCGCAATACAAAACCAACTTAAACGTTCTCTTATAGCTCAATTCGAGACCAATTGGATTTGAGTTTGGAGATTTGCTTGGTGTATTTATTAACAAAATAAAACGATAAACGATATTTTTTCCCAAAAAAAATAGACTTTTTCATAACGTTTCATCATCCAAAAATTATCATAGTTTAAAAGGTCTATATCTATTTAAAAATATATATGATTATTTTTTGATCATTTTTAAAAACCTGCTTTAATATCTTGAAGAAAATATGTGTGTATATAGATACATATAAGCAAGTAAGAGCTATCAAGGCAAGAGTCCCAACTAGTCCCTCGAGATGAGAAGATATCTTAAATTTATATAGATTTGAGGACTTAAAAAACTGTATTTTAATAGCAAGTGTTGTTTTCTTCTGAAATATGTTTTATATATAATTATTGCCAGATATTAATTTTTCTAAAAATTTGTTACAAAATACTTAAATTGGAAAAAAACTAACATGTAAAGTAAATTTCATCTAAGCCCCATTCTGCCACTCAAACAGAAAAACAATTGTCATTGATATGTTGCCCAGTGCTTATTGTTTAAATTGGGGTTTACCACGTTGGGTTATGTGGAGCCTAACATAACCTCAAACAAATCTATTAATAGCCTGGAAAACAGTAGCCCCAACAAGAAGGTCGCTGCACACGTAATCAAATTGAACATATGCCCCTAATGTGCGTATGTTTGTTTAAATCTTGAGCAGACGCACTCACTTTCTGTTTGCTGGAGTATTTACCACAAATTATTTGAAATATGGTGCAACTGCGGCATAAAGGAAAACGCAGCCCACTTCGTTTTGTATGGGGTGCTACCACTCTGCGGTTGGCTCTAATCGCTCTGCCCGTTGGCCATATTGTCGCCGGCACCCTGTTTCAGTTAATTGGGCGAGAAAAGTGGTATAAAATGTGCGGCATTCTATAGAAATTCCGCAGTTCTTCTCTACACTGTGTAGTGGACTGTCTGCAACGTTTTTCCCCATTGTGCTCTACTGAGAAATCGAGAGAGATATACATAGTATATATATACCAACATGTATATCCTAGCTCCATTTGGAAAAATGGAAGTTGCCATCGTTTTGCTGCTGCTCTCTGCCTCCATGGGCGGCATTGGTGGTGCACCAGCTGAGGTGGGTCGAAATTATAGTTCGATTGTAAGTTAACTCATTTTTAACATGCATGTTAAATAGGCCCCTGAGGTATGTCTTGTACAATCTGGAACTGTTGAATGCGCTCCCGGTAAGGCTCTATTCCGTGTAACATACTCTTGCCTCTATGTGAGCATAGCTTAGTTTAGTTTTTTTTAGATCTGTTCAAGATCTTATTTTTAAATTAAATATAAAACGGTTTTCCGTTCACTTGTCCGTCTAAAAAACCTAGATTCACCAAATTGGGATTTTTTAGAATTCTGAAATTTTAAAAACTGAATTTCAATCCCATCTAAAATTAAAAATATCTTGATTGAATATGTTTACTAGCTCAGTTTTAAGCTACATTTAAGAAATTTTATAGAGTATTTTGTAGTCGTTTACGCTCAGCTGCCGAATTTGCTTCCCTCGCAAATTTTGTGGATTTTTGTGCTCAACTATGAAGTACCCTATAAATTAAGTTAACTACTCGTAATTCTAGACAGCTTACAATTTTCACCAAAAACATTATTATTTGATTATTATATCTAAGATTCTTTTATTTAAACAAAAAAACTTTATTTAAATGTGAGTTATTTGGAAATCAATCGCATTGGTCTTTGAAAACCTGCGATATGTTTTCTAAAGTCACGAAATTTCTTTTATCTCTCGGTTCTGAAATGTAGGGCAACTAGTTTTGGGTGTAGAAGCTTATATTATTTTCGACCCTGCGTTTTATTTGGGATAAATGGGTTGGCTGGCAAAAATCCTCAGACTAAACCCTCCACGCGGGTGCCAGCTGGGCAATGGATGCTGTCACGCCCGTTGGTTAAATGGGACAAATATCGAGGGTTTCTCTTCCATTTACACCACAGGCATTGCAGCATCTAGCTAAGGTCTCGGTACAGCCTGCAAATAGCGCTGAAACCGAGCCATAGTCTTGAGGTATTTTCGGAATATTAATTCCCCAAGCAAGGCTTTAAGGACTGTAGCCGAATGAATAAACCATTGATTTTAATGAATATTTTTCCAGATTATATTCTTAAAAGTTTCAGCAATAATATTAATAAGGCTAATATCGAGAGCTAAGTCCTGAAGCATTAATCGGATAAACCTTAAAAGTATTTATTTGCGTATTTTAATCAGTCCCCATAGAAATTTGTCACATCATTTACAGATATACCTAATGATCCCGAGCAGCTGGGACCATATTGAATCGCATCAAACAAGTTGAATGTTTTCCAGTGAGAGCAGACAAGTTCCTAGAGCCTGGTCCCGAAGACCACATGGATCATACCGTATCCAGGATTTACTATCATTGAAAACTCATCAGGTGTATCGAGCACTTCAAGCTAAGAGCAACAGGACATTGCGACTGTCCTGCACTCTCCAACAGGCAGGCCTATGCCTCAAATATTTGGGAGCTGCACTCGCTCTTTTATTGAATTTTCGAGATTATCAAATTATTATCAAATCAATTAGGCCTGCGGCATATGCTTCTCCGGCCAAAAATATAACTATACTCAATAAATATCATAATAAAATCCAATTAAACTTATTTTTTATTTACAATAACTAATTAATTTTTTTTGGACCAACTAGTAGATAAAACGTGCTCAGGTCTGAATACCTTTAACAGAGACACAGAGTAAAAGCAGAAAAAATGACAAAAACAGGAAGAAAGAGAGGGAGAGAGTAAATAAAAAAAGGTTATGATCATACACAAAATTTATTAAATTATTAACACAAAAAAAAAATCCTTAACTTGCTTTTGTGAGAATTGCATAGAAGGGCGACATTTATAAATTAATTTGCAGTTCAGTGGGTGTTTTAAGATAATGTTTGCGTTTATTTTAAGTGAACATATATCGAGTATCAGATCAAGACAAACAGTTTTAAAAATTCCTGTGTTGCATTTAATAAATTAGCTCATATTTTATAAATTGTAGCTATTAGTTAATAATGTTTAAAGCAACAAAAATGCATTCTAGCTTTTTTTGCTATCTGATTTTAAGCGAGTATAGTCAAGCGTCTTAAAGAATATCAATATATTGCAGCTCATTCTGTCCAGGATTGATTACTTCACATAAGTTTCAGCGTCTCGATGGCCGCAGCAATGCGTTCGATTTCAGTACGGGATTCGGTTAGCTTTGTCTCATTGGCTGCTTGCACCTCGGCTGGCACCTTGGTTGCATAGTCGGATGCCTGAATCGCTTGCGTTATCTTGCTGACGGTCTGTTCCAGTTGATCGCGTTTCTTGTGCAGCTTGGCAATCTCCTTGTCGGCCTCAATCAGACCCTTGAGGAGCAGATGCACTTCACACTGCCCTGAGATGGTGAGGATGGCGCAGCCAGCGGGCGGCGGACTGTCGAACGTCACAGTGGAGCAGTAGGCAATGGTGGACAGATCGCTGGCATAACGCTTAAGTATAGAATTGGGCGCTGGATCTGTGCAAACAATATAAGCCTCCGTCTTGGTTTTGTTGGGCAAATTGTAATCGGAGCGCGCGGACCGTATCACGCGTGCTGCCTTTTGCACGAATTCCACATCCGCTTCAACTTGCGTGTTGCGCCAGGTTGTGTTGGCTATGTGATGTGAATGAAAAGCCATAAGAGAAAATTGGGTAATGTATGTACAGCTGATCACTTACTTGGATAACTGGATACGCAAATGCTGGGCGTGCGGTCAGCGCGCGGTAGACGCTGGAACAGCTCCTCGGTAATGAAGGGCATAAATGGCGACAGCAGACGCAGGCCATAATCCAAACATACATACAAAGTGTGCCTAGCTGCCGCCTGCTGCTCGGCGCTGCAGCTCTGAAAGATGGGCTTCAGGCACTCCAGATACACGTCACATACATCGTACAGCCAGAAGGCATAACAGGCGCTGGTCACGGCAGCAAAATCGTAGGTATCGAAGCCAGCATTGCAGGTCTCAATGGTAGCCGACAAACGGGACAGAATCCAGGCGTCCATTTTATTCGAATGCTCAGTGAGCGTGAGCTGCGTATTGTACAGTTCCTCGCCGTTAAAGTAGAGCAGCGCGAATTTGGTAGCATTCCAGAGCTTGTTGCAGAAGAAGCGATAGCCCTGGACGCGATTGATGTCCAGATTAATATCACGCGCTTGGGTGATGTAAGCGCACAAGGCAAAACGCAGCGCATCCGAGCCGCATTCGGGTATGCCCTGTGGATAATCCTGCTTTTGACCCAACTTGGCCTTCTCAATCTCACGTGGATCGAGATTAGATCCAATCAGCTGCTCGTGCAGACCCTCTAGTGTAATACCGCGTATCACGTCCATTGGATCGATCACATTGCCCAGCGACTTGGACATTTTGCGTCCGTGTGCGTCGCGCACCATTGGATGCAAATAGACCTCCTTGAAGGGCAGTTTGCCCAGCAACTTTTGGCCAAAGAAGACCATGCGTGCTACCCAAAAGAAGAGTATATCATGACCCGTCTCCAACAGCGAGGTGGGGTAGAAAGCCTGCAAATCGGGCGTGTTGTCTGGCCAACCGAACACGGAAAAGGGAAACAGGCCGGAACTAAACCACGTGTCCAGCACATCCTCGTCCTGTTTCAACAAAATCAGGCTAGGATCCAGGCCAAAGCGTTCGGAAGCCTTGTTCAAAGCCTCCTGCTCAGTGCGTGCCACAATCCAATACTGTTCTTCCTCAGACTAATAAAAGTATTGATATGCATGTTAAATTTACCATGAAGCCTAAAATTGCCTGTTTTACTGACCGTGCTAGGCTGAATGCTGGATTCCTTAAAGCTCACATGGTAGGCGGGTATGCGATGACCCCACCAGAGCTGCCGGGAGACACACCAGTCGCGTATGCCATCCATCCAGTGATACCAGGTCTTTGTGTGATGCTCCGGCACAATTTTTAGCTCACCCGAGCGCACAGCCTTTGTGGCGTCGGCAGCCATGTCC